CATTTTTCTGGATTTCTTCCAAACATTTTATCCCTGCATGAAAGACGATCCACAGGCGACCTCTCCCCCTCTCGCCTCTCTCCTGGATAATAAACGTTGTGTAAATTCCTCCACAATTCCTTTCATTCTGAACGAGCACACCGGCGAAACACGTGCCTCCTGTCAGGTTCATGAGGATCCAGAGTTTGAAAGTGCTCTGAGTTTAAAGTTTGGGGATGTTTAAGCTTAAGGAGATATTGTAACTACGGACATTTAAAACACTTTTAGTGGTTATAAAATCCCCTTTTTTTGTACATTTGCCTGAGCTTTCTGTAAGTGAGACAGATAAAAATCACAGAATCAAACCGCTGGCTGCATATGAATATGGACAGCACGTCTCGATTTTCCTCTGTTGCACAAAAGCGGAGCCAAAGTACCTTGACTCTCCTGGTAAGGGAAAGTTTTGTGACTGTATTGTTAGGTTTCCATGTTTTCTCTCACTGCTCCTCCTCTACTTATCGCGTTAGGAACTCTGCCAGGAGTCGCATTGGTCACCAGAGCTGTCAATCATCATGTTACCCGCCCTTTTTAGGATCAAATGATTGAAAAAACAAAACGACTATAAATGAACTCTAAGACATATCAGCTTTATAATAACCATAACCTCATAATCAGGGTTTAACAATAATTAATTTGACTTGTGTATTAACATAGTTTGCCTCATCTCCCATCTGATCACATTGAGGAGGTGGAGCTTATGACTTACACCGTGTCCTCACAATACGCCGGTGTTAGATATTGCGTAGAATTGGCTGCTCCCTGTCTACACGGCATCTCTTAAATAATGACTTCTCCGCTCTGTGAATTTCAGTTTCTCCTTGTGGATAGAAAGTCATGGTTCTTTTAAATGGTGGACAAATGGAGGTGTGTTCTTTGGTTTTTACGAGCTATTGACTCAAATCCCAACATTCAAAGGCTCCGGTGTTCACACAAGTCAAGGCTCAACATTTCAATCATGGATATGGACATTAATAATGCTAATGACTATCTTCACTTTGTCAAACAAGCTAACAAGCTCTGTTGAGTGAGAAAAGAAAAATTAAATCAAAAGCTTTCCTGTTTGACATTTACAATGCCTTTTAGAGCCCCCCCCTTCCACGTCCATGTGCATGCAAGCGACAGACAAATGGGGCGTCGCAGAGTCGGGAACAAAACGGTGTGTAGCTCTTCTTAGCACTGCGTAGCTTGCAGGCTGTTAAGACACTCAAACAGGAAGCAATTGAAAAAGCTGATTTTGTTGCTCTCGCTCGCATCGTATGCTATTAGGGGAAGGTGTTGTACTGCAGCCAGTCAGCAGGGGGAGCGTTTTGATATTTTGGCTTCACTTCTAGGTGGCTGTTTTTCTGTCCATCTTTATATACTGTACAGTTTCAATCAATGTCATTCTGTAGGAGTGACGCACATTTCAATGCAACATTTGTTAGATTTAGGTCCTTCCCTACATTTGGATTCTGAGGATTCAAGATGTCATACAGCTAAAGAAACACTTCTGAAAACAAATTACAGGCTTCAATAAATCAATATGAATTTGTGTCTTGGTGTTTATCTGATGAATGTGTGTTTCTGTTATTTTATCCAGCCTCTATGGATACTGCAGTGAAGTCACCGTGCCCGGTGGTTCTGACGTAACTCGAGTGAAAGCCACACTGTGCAGGCTTCGCCTCAAGGCCTCTTCTGTATATTTTTATCATTTCTCTCCAAATGGCTTCGGTTACGCAGCTCAGAGCTCTCCAATTGCATCTGGCAAAACATCCTTCCTCCTCACGATGGGCGAAACATGTGTGAACATCAAACGGCCTGAACACACGCCTGAAACAAAGCTGCGGAGGGAACGATCAGGTTATTGTTATCGAATGAAACTTCAGGATTTAGACAGGTTTTTCAGTTTCAGAGCAGCAATGCAGTGTCGGTGCGTTTGTTTTGATTCTCACCATCCACTCCCTCCTGGAAGCATGCAGCTCCCCTGGCCTCTTTTATTGCAACGTAAACCTCTGGATGGAGAAGTGAGCGAAGTTACAAGAAGACACATGGAGGACATTAGTCACTTCTTTCTCTGACAAGTAGATACACTGAGAGATGTGACAATCAGTCACTGTTTAAATAGTAAAAAAATAAGGCAAAATGCTGTTTATACTTGTGTTGTCTTTAGACTTCAGTCCCAGAAATAATTTCATAAAACATGCATTATTCCTTTCTTAACATTTTATCTGCTTTTCAACGTTTTTGAAGCCATCCACTTCTCCTTTATCAACTATGCATTGGTTTTAATTTCACTAATTTAGAAGGTCACATATTATGCAAAATAAACTTCACCATGTTTCTCTAACATCAACAAGTGTCCCTAGTCTGTCTACAAACTCCTCAATGATGAGAAAAGTCCATCCTCTCCATCTTTTGCCTGCTCCGCTTTTCAGAAAATGTGTGCTCAAACAGGCCGTTTGGAGATTTTCCCTTCATGACATCACAAAGGGCAGTAGCCCCTCCCCCAGGTCGGTGACACTCCCACAGCTAGGTGCTTGTTCTGCCCTCTGAGTCTGCCTTCTCACCGTAAACAATAGGACATGGAGCGAGAAAGACCGAGTACACCCGAGCCCTTCCAGAGAGGGGGCGTGTTCAGACCCAGCTCATTTACATATTTAAAGGTACAGACACAGAAACAGCCTGTTCTGAGCAGGGCTGAAATAGAGGGGTTTATAGGCATGATCAAATACAAGATCAGAGTGGATTTAGAACAAGAAACTTGACAAACATGTTTTGAGGAGCTCTGAGACTTATTTACACTGGTTGAAGAGGAGGAGAATATGTGACCTTTAAATTAAAAACACAAGCCCACACAGCTTAGCATCAAGTGAGGTAGATCTGACAAATACAGACATTTTGGACTGACTTTATTTCAGACAGTTATATACAGACAATTAAAGATCCAGGTACATAGTGTAGTGTATTGGTAAGCTTGCCAAATCATCGATCATTTCAGATATTAAGAAAAAGTTTTTGGGATACAAACGGCAAATGAGTAAATGAGAAAATATGCCCAGGTACGTCATCTAGTGTTTAAAATTAAATCTCCCTTAGTATCATGACAGGTACGTTAAACGAGGCAAGCTAGTACAAAAAAAACAGCAAATATACATCATATGGTAAATGATAAAAAATGTGGCATACAGTATGTAACAATGTAAAAACCAGCAACAATATTTCCAATAAATTAGAGCCACGGGAGCGCTAATGTCATACAGGGAATGTTGAGGGAAAGTGCATCAGCCCCGGGGGACGTGATCCTGAGCTACACAGACGCGATCATTGATTGACTTATAATATAAAAATAAAGCAACAGAGACGCCAAAAAAGAAACCTTTTCCACCCCGTCATTATTATTTGACCTTTGTTTTCAGTCATTCAAACACAACCAATCAGACATCATCGGTGAAAGGCAGCCGACGGATGCTAGCTTAAGAAGCGTCAAACTGTTTTTCTGCACACAGACTGGATACAAGAAGTGGACATAGCGACCAAAGTGACACCGTCCACGGCTTTCTAGCTGAAGTTGCTTTTGGATAATGTTGCACTACATTAAGAAATATGTAATTGACTTGCTGACAGTTGTTAGCATTTTTCAGCTAGCTAAACTACTTTTTGATAAGAGCATCTTTAACAACCAATTAGTCTAAACGGCTAACATCTGCATCAAGCTAAATCCTAGCTAACATAACCATCATGCCTCCTACAGACTTAAGTAACTGCAGCCACACTGTGCATCGCGGCTCTTATAATGTTGTGTACGATATGCATGCACACTGTGCGATGAAGTATCTCGTGTTTCGTAGACTGCATGCAAGTCAACACGCAGCGTCATCAGTGTGCATCAACCTGATCGAGCTAAGGTTGCCACGGCGGTGAGCGGAAAGCCGGCTCTTGCCGAGACTTTCATGTTAGGTTGGTTAGTTAACAGATCGTAGAAGCATTCACATTGTGAGATGATTATATCAAATTTCAGACACTGCGATATTTGTCGCAGGTTATCTTTGGTCGCAAAACCGTGAAATTGGTGGCGCTCGTGCATATCTGTGGAGGGCATGGCCTTGTAAGGAGTCCCGAGGGGAAGGGGGTGTGTTTAGCCCTGAGGAGGTTTACTTTTCAAAGCTTGCTTGCTTTCCAAAATTACCAATCCTGTATTTAACTAGCTTATGTGACGTTAGCTAGCAATAAGTTGAATGCTAAATATGCTGTTGGACTTAAGCCTCCCTGACCTCATTAATAAAAAATAATAATTTATGGTCTCAATCGTACAGTGAGTTTAAATTCTGTCAAAACAAATATAGTTTTCATTTAAAGTAAAACAACAATGTCCACTTCTTTCACACAGTTACAGTCCTGCCGTTGTTTTTTATAATACAGCTGTTTAAATCTGGCGTTTCACACACTCGCTCACTCTCTCTCTCTCTTTCTTGGGTAACTTTGCATCTGAACAAATTCTAGCCCACAGCATCACTTCTCAGTTAATGAAATCCTGAAAAGAAGACGCAGTATCAGTTATCTCAGGCCCCATTTACCATATTCACACAGCAATTGCTCAGACTGGGAAGCACAAACGCCATCATAGTGTTTTTACTGCTATGCACGGTTCGCCTGATGCATATTAAACGTACAATATGTCGACTTTTATGACAATGTTTACAATATCTAAATTAATTAAAAATGTACTAAGCCTATGTTATATGTTTTTTGTTGAGTTCTTACATTACCTCACATATTTCCAAAAGTTATCAAAGCCAGAGAAATCCTTCATTATAGAGTTGTAACGGGACGTGTCTTGTCACGGCAGCCGCCATGACAGACGGACTGTTTATCGTTGCCGTGGAAACACCAGATGTTACGTCAAATACTGCTACATAAGGAAGCGTGAGCTGCTACTGAAAGCTGCCGTACTGTTGCTGTATGAGCTGCTGTGATAAAAAACGTCATGTAAATTATACTTGGATACATTAGCTCGTCGGTAAACATGATCTCTTCCTCAGGTCGGATTCACCCGTTCATCTTCACTACGTCAACACGGATGTCGTTTTTTAACCCGTGGGGGCGGTGGGTGGGAGAGAGTAGCTGAGAGAACGCCCATGATTCCCCGCTAGCATCGCCGTCATCTTTTGTAAATGTAGTTTTGATTGAGAGCCCCCTGGTGGTGGAATCTACATGTTTTATCTTTAATACAAACAATCTCCTAAATGTCACTGACTGTGTCTTCTGATCGATGACTGAAAAGACGATAAAAAGAGAAAATCTGGATGGATATTTAGAGTTAAAACAACATGTTTGATCACTCAATCCTGCAACTGCTAAGCTACATCAACAGCTTGTTAGCATCTAAAATAGCAACGGTTACAAGAGCCAGAGGATGGTCCATTTTAGCTGGCTAGCATTACTGGAAACCACTATATATTTTCAACTTTCCTGTGGTGTCAAACTGGTCAAAAAACTTTATTAGAGGTGAAAAGAAAAGTTTGATGCTAACCATAGCTGTTGCCACTAGCTGATGGCTCTTTAAATATATTTGAAATAAAGCTTGATTGCACTCTGGGTTTCCTTAATTTGGTTGTAAAAAGTTTTTTAAATTCTCTGTTTTCATGTAGCAGTATTACCGGTTAGCGATTGTTTTTCTTAAATGTGTCACAGAAGGAAGATGGCCGTCGTGTCAACATGGTAAATGGCGCTGAATAACTCATTCTCACACGTTCTTCTTCAGCTGTTTGCTTCCAGTTTCCCCTCCTTTCTGAGCTCAGTCTTAGAAGTTATAAGGCGAAACCATGACATGGACCCTGGCCACGTGCTTGGCCTGAAAGGTGCGGTCACTGTACTCAGACATGTCCACGTCAATGCTGATCTCCTGCGGCCCCCGTAGCTGCTGCACCAGTATGAGTTCACCGGTTTGTCTGTCTGAGCGCTGCATGACGAACATGCCTCGAGAGTTTCCGCCCACTATGCCGAAGCGCAGGCTGTCGGGTCCGGTGCGCCCTGGGGCGGAGGCGGTCGCCATACGGAAAAGAGTTGCAGGAGTTTGCAGGTTGGAGGTCAGAGACAGGTAGTGGAAGGACACGGTCTTTGGAGCGACGTGGCAGGAGCGGCTGTCCATCGGGCAGGGGTTTCTCTCACACTGGCTGCAGGACAGAAAAAACAGCGACAAGCAGCGGGCATTAAAGAACGTTTTCCATTTTCTGTGTGTTTGGCAGTCGTAACATAATGAGGCCATTTTGTCGAGGGGAAATGTTTACATCATTAATCTATCCCCATGGGAACGTGCTCATAACTGTTTTCTTTGTGACATAAGAGAAGTGAGACATGCGCACAGCTCTTATGAGGTCAACTGCCCGCAAATCTTGGATCATAGCGAGCTGTAAATATTGAGGCATTACATGTTGGAACGTTGTTAACCTGCATGAAAAGGAAATCTTTGTGTTCTACATCGGTGTATTTTCTTTTTTTTTAAGGTACTTTCGGGAAATGTAGATTTTGGCGCCCCCTGTGGACAAAGTGCTTAATCTTGACCTAGTAATTTTTCTGACAGATATCTCCTCCTCTCCTCCTCTCCTCCTCTCCTCCTTTATCCTTTATCCATTTCAAATGTCTAACAGGCAGATCATAATGAATCGTTGGCGTGGATTTTTTTTTAAAGAGGCAGCATGTTTTTAATTGCCTTGCTCGTGGTGCGTTACATTTGATCTAGGAACTTGGTCTAATCCATCATCAGGAACGCCCCCCTGAAGTCAAAATTCCGACATGGAAACTGAGAACCTTCAGTAGCCCGAGCTAAAATCCAACATGGCTGCTACCTGCATCAACAGTAAAGTTTAAGTTGTACACTACAGTGTTATTAGCAACTAAGTTTGTTTAAGAGTAATAAAATCAATCACAGCGATAGTATCGCGCAAGATCTATCTGTGGACATGTTGTCATGTCATATTTGCACGCCGACTATCATGTAGTGTTTTGCTATCGCCTGGTGTTAGCTAACAAAACAAAGGTGCTCCTGAAGGCGTTCATGTAGCTTGTTTGAGTTGTTGACGGCTCGCAACTGGAACGCTGTTAACTCGGGTGTGATGTCATTCCCAGCTCTGCAGAAGAGTACGACGTATAAAAAAAGTACTTATCTAGAATTAATTCTGAGTTCTCTTTATGGTGGACTTCGCTTTTTTAGGTCACAATGAGGCATCAGTCTGTTTCCTAACCGGCTAGAAACTCTCACTGAAAATCTTTTGGCTTTAAATCGTTGCAGATCACTATTTCCTTCAAGAATTGCATTAATGGATATAATGAAAAAAGTATTTAATGGATCTTGCATGCACACTCAAATCAGACGCTCGTTCATTTAACCGTTAGCATGTGTGGTGTGAAGTTGGTACAGAGCTACTGTCTTACTTTATTCTCAGTTTTCTCCTAAATGTGTATTCATCCACTTTGCTGGCAGTGGAGCGGTATTTTTCAGCAGATTGATGGTTCAGTAGGAGCACACAGAGCCGTGTTTCATGCTCTTAAATGAGGCAGCCTGCTGACGACGGGCAAAAACAGAGATGGGAGCTTTAATGCCTCCAAACATTTGGCCAGGAGACGACCTACATGGCTTTAAAGAGGGGGGAAAAGGCTTTTAGTCAAGTTTTGCTGAGCAAAACTCCTGTTCTTCAGAAGCGGTTGGCATCTCTGTGATACATCAACACTTTAGTCACAGCTGCCATTTCTAATTGCTGTGTCATTTATTGCGCTTCGTTATAAAAACATTGTTATACAGTTCAATAGTAGCAAAGTCTGATGATCCAGGCAAAAAGTCAGACAGGCTTAAAACAACAATAAAGCCAGATTATCTTAAAGACCTGTGAAAGTGCGGTGGACTTTAACAACACTTTGTTTCATGCTTTCATAGGCTGTCTTTGATTTTGATGCCAAAGGGTTGGGTTAACTTGACCAGCGATTATATTACAGTGTCATAAATTATATTACAGTGACATAAATAATCAGAGTTGTATAGGTTTTGTTTTTGTTTGGAATAAGCCACAGTTCAAAGATTTATGGGTTTGACAAAAAAGCATGGACATGGTTAGTTTACATATACTTCCACCAATTGAAACTATGGCCCCAATCAGGACGAAGATGTTAACCTAATGTTTCCCATGAAATCTAAATATATTTAAAAGAGGGCTGTCAAACGATTACATTTTCTTATCGAGATTAGTCGCTGAATTTCCCAAAAATGATCACCAAAGAGGGTAATTCATTTGCCAGACAAGATTTAAAATATTGAGGATTGACTCTGAGGAAGACGCAGTGCATCGAAAAGGTTAGTCCTTTGCACTATATATATTGCATCCCTTAAGGGGTTAATGTTCTCCAGTACTTTCTTTGGATCCTGCCTGAGAGAACGAGTCCACTGAATTATATTTTGAAGGTCTAAGGTCGTTCTCTGAGAGCACCGACCTCCATTTGTGAAGCGACTGAAGCGCAGGAGGTCTCCTCTCATTTGTTAAGATTAAAATATGTTGATGCTTCATCCATCTTACTCTAATGTAGCATCTAATTAAGCACTTTCTCTAATATTGAATGGCCCTCCCTCTTGACACACAGGAACTGCAAGCTAGCTAGCAGTTTGTGTTTGAATGCTAACGTCTACCTTAAACTTGTAACTAAACATTCATAATCAGATAGCACTTGGCTAGCTTCGTCATTGGGACTGATATAACATAATTTAGCTGCTATCTTGAAGCTGTAACACGTTGCTCAGAAGCACCTTTTCATTGATAAATATTCATTTAAAAATTCTTGCTTTTTTGCCTCGTTGCATGTATGTTCACTGGCACACCTGAGCCAGCGAGCTTTTCTTTCTGTCTTTTCTGACTTTTAAAAGTCTGCCATGAGTATATGAGTGTCTAACAGTTGGGTCTGAATAAGCAGGTGGTACTCTGAAAGTTTAAGACCATTTCCTGCTGGAATCAGGAAGATGTGGTGCTTGACGTATAACATGCCAGATTGAGCTGTACGACTTACAAAGGTGACGTCTTCACATAGCTGATGTTGCCATGAGAGCGGGGACACTCCGGGTTGACACACTGAAAGCCTCCGCCTGTGTTTATACAAGTTGTGCCTCGGCTGCAGTTGTGCTGCTGGCTTAAACACTCGTCCACATCTGGAAGACAAAACAGCAGAGGCACGCTTAGAAAGAGAAGCTGAGGGAGAGAGAGACTTGCCAGACTGCCTTGCTGCTTCCTGGTTACCACAGCACTGAGCAGGGGGGTGCAGAGCTGAGACTGTTTATTTGTTTTTTTTAGTTTAGTCTCTCATGTCCTAAAAATCCCTCCTGCTGGGAAAGGGTGAGGTCATTCTCTGGCAAGCGTCCTAAGCTTCGGGGTGCAAGTGGTGAAAACGGGCTGACAGATACCTAGAAGCTCCTGGGCCTTCTGAATCACAGGTATGCCTCTTTGGACCTGCATGCATACCTCGCTAAATCTGCAGCCAGGTTCCCTGTGAATGAGCATTTGTCCTCTGTTGCCTCTTGTCACTCACCCTCACAGCTCCGCCCATCCGGGAGCAACTTGTAGCCACTGGGGCAGGAGCAGTGGTACGAGCCGGGGACGTTGACACACTCGTGGACACACAGCTTCCCTCCTTGGTCCAGACGGTACACTTCACACTCATTCACATCTGGCAAGAAACAGAAAGAAAAGTTATGTTGCATGTAGATGTCAGGTCTTTTACAGCCTTGAGTTGCAGTCTTTAGGACCCACAAGGGACCACGTTTGGTTTAGAGAGTGGTTTAACATTTTTATATCTCTATCCTGGTCACCACTGAAAGCAACTTGACAGTAACAGTTACCACCTCCCTTAAGAATACCCTGCTTTATTGTTTTTCTCTATATGGGAGTAGGGATGTTCATACGTGACTAATTTCCCACTTTAGTAAACGGAAATTTAAAGTCAGACTGATTGGTTAAAGGTATGAAAATACTCAGAAAACCGTCCACATTGAGCACAAACAATGACACTGTGATTCAGTGTTTGTCTATGTTACATAAATTGTGCTCAAGTTGGACAGATTTCTGAATGTTTTCTTACCTTAAAGAAAGAATGTGCAACTTCTGTATCCAGTAGATGTCGCCCTTGAGCACCAGCACTAAACCAAAACAAACTGCTGATAGGCCACGCCTCCTCCATACTGAAGCCTCCGCTCTCCTCCAGAGACACACCTCCAACCCAGCAGGAAGGAGTTATGAATTAGAATGCACCATAACTAAGCACCATTAAGAGCAAGCAGCGGACAGAATTGTCCTTTGCTCCAGCTGCGATTACCTGTGGTCTGCATTGTTGTGTTAGCATGCTAATGTTAGCGCTCTTTAGTTAGCTCGTAGCTTCACATTTCATGTAAACTGACACAGAATGAGCGTGATCTAAAAACTCTTACTAACATCTAAATAATCAGTGAGTATGTTCTTCTTCTTCTCTCTAGTTCTGGACTAAAACAGCTTTTATACACAAGGGGAGGAGCCGGCCGTCCCGTCCATGTAAACACGACTCTGACAACAACACAGCCAGCGGGACTCGAGCTTCTCCCTCATTGTAGACAGTCATGACTCAGAGACACATTTACACAGGACAGACTGGATTTCTGCTGCGTCTAATTTTGCACATTCTTCCTTTTTCTGAATGTTTTAGTACCTTAAACAAATCGACTAGTTGGAATTGGTCACCTAGGAACATCCCGACGTGAAACTTGTGATTGAAGTCATGAACTCGTTATGAAAAGGTTAGTTTATGGAATAAATCATCTGAGAAGTAGAGACAGTTTCTCATCTCGTTTCATACAATTGTAACAGTCGAGACACCGTCTGCTGGCTATTATAAAGTTGGCAGGTTAAAGCACTTCTGCATTATCTTAATTTTTTAAAACCAAACGGCAAGTCGACTTCCTATAGACAGTCCAACTCTGAAAACTCTCATTTAAAATGTTACTCAACCTTTCACATCTTAAAAAACTGAACTGTGACCTAAATGGAGGCTAATCAGCTCGTGACCTCAGAGAGGATTATTTTGTTTGTCGCAGACTGGCTCCACAGATTACTGTCTTTGTAAACATATTAATGACAAAGGAGTAAAAAGTCTCAGGTTTCCTGGGGTCTTCTGAGCTGCCAAGTCACTATAACAGACCTTGACCTTGTCCCCCCCCACCCACCCCCCCGAGGGACCGATCATGTAACACATAATTAGAGCTCACCCTGACAGATGCTGTTGTCGGACGTGCCGCTCATGTGGAAGCCGGCATCGCAGCTGCAGTGTTGGGCTCGGTTCACCTGGGCGCAGCGGGGTCTCCGGCTGAACGCAGGATCATTCATAACACTCCACTCAGGTGGGGCTACATCAGGGCGATATGTGATCACTGCTTTGCAGCTAAACACTTTTTAAACTTATTAGATGTACCGAGTGTCAGATGTATAGACTGTGGCACTGACCTGTCTGTGTTTGGTGCTGGCAGTGAGAACCACTCCAGTTCTGGGGGCAGGTGCATTTGTACTGGTTAACACCTTCCACACAGGTTCCTCCGTTCTGGCAGGGATTACTCGCACACTCACTTATATCTGTGTCAGTGTGGGAGAGAACGAGGGGGTCAGGAGTCAAAGTGCTGAGAAACTTGCAGTTTTGTTTTTCATTTTCGATCACGTGCAAATTTCCCAGTTCATTCGTCATGCTGATGCAAATGTCAATTTAAAGTTCAGCGCAAAATCAGTTGCCATTTTGGCCAGTCAAAGCCGATACATTAAACCAGAGCTGGGCACACATCGGTTCATCTGTTAATGACAGATTTTCTTTGTTCCTTTTTCAGAGAACATGAGTTATTAATTTCTGTCAGGACCTAAAGACAATTTCAACCAGAATCTTAAAAAGTGGATCTGGAGGAAATTACAAAACCCTGCCTTTAAGATTGCCATTTCACAAACAGCATAAGAGAAGGAGATGGTCACGTGAGTCTCGATGTTTAAAACGTTGTTTATGTGAGTTTTAAGATATAGCCTCTGTACGCCCATCTGTCATCCATTCAGAGAGCCGTGGTGCGTGTCCACCCAGTCTGATAATTATCCTTAAACATGAGTCACTGCTTCTGTCATCGTGGGCACGATATGTCAGCAGTGGGTCAGTGATGCCCTTTGATTTTGCTCCGTTTGGGGGAAGTAGTACTTATCTTCATCGAATCTATTAGGGATCATGGTTAAAGAGGAATTAGATAAGAAAAAAAAAACTTTTCCAGCTTTAAGGTCGACAGTTCAAATATCTGGAAGCAATCTATGTTGTCCTCGTAGATTTCCACAAAAAAACAAAGCTGTAAAGCACCTCGCTGCCAACACCTTCTCAAGTCAGGTTTATAGCAAGTCTCGTATTTTCATGCAAATGTCTTTTACAAGTGTTTTTGTGAAAACTCCCCCCGGGCTTGTGCACAGGCCAAAACTGTGATGCAAAAGGAAACTGGGTAAAATACTGCTTCATACCAAATACAGACCAGGAAACATCTCAATATGTGTAAAAAGAAGATCCCTGCCCAAACACACATATGTCAAGTTTGTTCTGCATCATCAAAAACAAAAACTCATCACTCACATACTACAAGATACAAACTGTTGATTGTCGACCCCCCTGATGGCTCTTAAACCTCTTCTCTCTAATGAAATTAAGACTCAAAGGAATAAATCACCACGCTGTCTGAGTCTCTGCCGTCGGCTCTGAGAGTTGTGCAGATGTTATGAAGCAGCCTCTGAAGCACTCTGAGCTTCCGTGCAGAGGCCACAGTATACTGCATGATAACCAATCCCTTTAATGTTTATTTGGCCTCCCCTGGGGGGGCCGCCACAGGGGCCGTGACATGAAAAGGCCCACTTCACTCTGCTAGATATTTTTAAACTCTTCTTTACTTTAAAGTCTTCACACTCCGTCAATACTGCTTTTTTTTGGGAGCCTTTGCTAAATTTAGAGCTGCTTCACGGCCAGGCTGGAAAACATGAACAGGGATAATACTGTGCCGAGTCCAAAAACCTTCTTGTGTTGTTTTAACCATGAATGTCAATAAATGTATGCACATGTTTCGACTGCGTTTGCCACTTGGAATTTCTGGAGCAGGGCCTTCTGTGCAGGCTGAAGGGGGCTATCAATCGCATGCTTAGCATACTTGTGTGCTATCAGACCATGGTGTGGGTATAATGTCTGGACTTAACCCCCGTCCAGTGGGACTGCTGTCAAAGGAACCTGGGAAACATGAGCCAGAGAGAGGGGCTTTATCTTACAGTAGCCCGGGCTCTGCTGCTCATGGGGGGGAGTGGAAACCTGGAGGGTAAGGCACCCCACAGTGGAATGCAGTACAGGTGTTTTTTCTGTGTTCGGAGACATTTAATGCCTTTTTAACGAGGGCTTCATTCAGTGCGCCGAGGAGCTCCAGTCGCTCTGAAGAATGGCTCTTTTCTTCGCCTGTTATCTGTGGATGTGTGAGGAGCTCAGTTCGGCTCCTGGGCTGCTGCCGGGCATTCAGACACCGCCGAGCCAAGGCTGCCTTAATGCATGGATGGATTACAGAGTGGGCATACCGGGCACATGCCCAAAGGGGCCCGAGGACTCAGGAGGCCCCTTAGACCAGGGCTTCTGCTCAAAGTGATTTTTAACATCCCATGAAAATTCAATGAAACAACACAGAATGAGGTCAAAGAGATGCAAAACAACCAAAAAAAGAGCAAAACAAAGACACATATTAACTACACAGAGACACACAGCAACTCCAAGGACTCACAAAACAACTATAAAAAAGACACAACAGCTCCAAGTCTTTCTCTAATGAAGGGTGCACGGGGGTCCTTTTAAACGTCCCATCCCAGGGGTCCTTTGTCTCATAATCCACCCATGCCTCAAGGTCTCTCCAGATGTTGCCTCAACAGTTAATTATCATTGATAATCTGAACTGGGCCAAAAAATTACACCAATTTGTATTTGATGTCAGGGGATGTGTGTTTGCATGTGGGGAAATTCATTGACGTAAAAAGCTCCTAATCCTGGTAGAGTAAGACCGCTTTCCTCACCTGAATCAAATGTAGCATGGACAAAATGAAGCTTGATTGTGTTTAAAGGGACATATGATGAAAAATCCACTTGTACAGTGTTTTTGAACATATATTGGGTAACCTGAGTGTCTACTGATCCACAAAATGTGAAATAAATCCATCCAGTCCTTTGTTTGTGGTCTGCATAAGTCTTACAACACAGAGGAAAATGCTCTGCTTCAAATGTGCTCTCCTGGTGATGTCACAGTGGGATTCTGGTAAAAAAAAATCCCCTCCCCTCCCCTGGTATCTCCACCCATGGACTCCACCCCCAGCCTAGAACAAAACTTTTACGCAGGTCCGCCATTTTCATTCTCGCTACAGAGGAGTGATGTCTACGGGGAAAACTCAGGGGTGGGGGGGGTGGGGGGGTCATTGCATTTAAAGAGACACACACACCAAAACAGAGCGTTCTGAGAGAGCTGGTTTATACAGGGTCACAAACCTCCTCTGGTGCTTGATTCATGTTATATTTTAACCAAAGCACACACAGATGTTTCATTTAGACCACAGGGGGACTGTTTGAAAAGGTGGAGGAGGGGGGATAATATGTCCTCTTTAACTAATTTCTCACTGGAGCTCACCTTTACAGACGGCACCGACACCAGTCCAGGTGCCGTTGTCCCGGCACACACGTGTGGCGGATCCCGCGAGTTGATATCCCTGGGAGCAAGTGAAATGAACTTCGTGTCCGACAAAGTACTTTGATCCAAACTTGGTTCCATGAGCGGGGGCTTCCAGAGGAGGGCAGGCGGTGGGAGCTGCGGGAGAGAGAGAGAGAGAAAAGGAGAGGAAGGCCGATCACATGTGTAGTATAAGCCTCCCGACATCCTCTGGCATTCTCTGCCTGGGGATATACACGTGTCACTGGGCAGCGCAGAGCGTTCATGGGAAAGGGCGTTTAAATGCCTCATTTACAGTCAAACAGCACAGAACCGGACGGTTTTATGAGTCAGGAGTTTACCAGCAGCCAAACGTTAAGCTACAGTATGTCGAGTGGAAACTGTGATGCTTGTACAATATGTAACATAACTGTATTACATAACCTTGTGATTAGATTACTTTTTGGCTTTTACGATAAGTTAGCACTGTAGTTAATCATGAGGATGGTGATAAAAAGTTTCCCATTCCTTAAACCTGAGGGGGAAAAATTGGAAACGGCCAGTATACTAAGTACATCCAGTGTTGTTATGGCAACACAGTTAGGGCTTTTACACTTGCAAAAAACTCCTGAAAAACTCCTGATATTTCCAAGAGGAGCTGCATGTGTGAATACAAACAGCAGAATTTTTCACTCTGACTTCACCCGGAGTTTCTCCTGCCAGCCCTTCTAGTATTTTTTCCGCAGCAAGTCGGAGTGAGCTGATGTGAGAACGCAGCAGGATACTCTCCGGAGAATTCACCTCGAGCCAATGGGAGGGGGGAGAAATTTTTATATACTGAGACTGCTGCACGGTGCAAAGACTGTCTGCATGCGACTGATTCGATCTCCGTGCTCTAATGAGCCTGCTGCATTATGTTTCCTGTTCTCCAGTACGTTTTTCTCCACTCTTAAGTTCAGATTGTGATTCTGTTCAACTACACGTAGCATTGATATAAAGGCAAATATTCTCATTATAGCATCGTATAACCCCCCACCCCTCCCTCCTGTCTGACAGGGATAGTCTGGTGCATATGTGAACAGCCAGGTCAGGAGAATCTCCAGGGCAGTCCTCCTGAAATTATCTAGATATTTTCAGGAGTGTACAGTATATGTGAAAACAGCTAGTGACTCTTAAAGGGACAGCGTCTAGTTTGACACTTTAATGTTTATCTTGACAAATAATAAATTCGCAAAATTGCACCTCAAAGATTGTACGGACTCATTTCAAAATTGCACTACCCTTTTCAGACACCGCTGTACCTTGCAACATAAATGCTGCTGGTCTAAATCTACGCTAATATGTATAAGTCTCATTTTATAAATTGTGCATAGGTTTCTATTCTTATTCCTGCACGGTTTAAGTACATTTTCCTGGTATAGCTCTAATTATTAATTGCATGGTTTTCATTTTGATTTATTTGCTGTATATCTTTGTTCATATACATATGGGAAGGGAGACCGGGGATGTTGTCATGTGTGTTTTGTAGGCTGCTATTGGATGCTTTGAATTTCCCTCAGGATCAATAAAGTATCCATCCATCCATCTGTTTTTTGAAAGGGGGAATCAGTCTTACCTAGTCAGACCTTAATGATGTCCAGGTCACATCGACTGTGATTCCTGAGCTCATAAAGCAGATGAGCCTCTTATATTTTGTTCTTGTTCATACTTCATGGCTGTAAATGTGAAATATCAGCTCTTTCCTGATCTGCCAAGAACTCTCCGCAGAGCTGTGTGGACTGCTCTCCGAGTCCATCACGAACAAATTGGCCTCTGTGTCAACCTGCCAAACAACACATTCCCAACAAATTCACTTCCCCCTGTCAACTACCCCGGCTCTGTAACGGAGATGGCCTGGCGCTGTTGGATGAATATATAATCCCATAAAAGAAGAAGGCCAAATATTCACATCAAATCAGGGGAAAAATTAAATCTTTGATTTGTCCTAACCAGAACAACGATTCCCTAAATTACAAAGCAAAACCTCAGTCATTACAAGCATGCATGGGAAAATCTACAACATGGTCTGATACATTTATGACTTCTTATTGAGCAAGCTCTAGACACATACAAAAATATGTTACACCTCCATTATCAGTGATACCAAGTCAAAATGTCTGCTGTGAAAACCAGCACTAAACATTACACTGATGATGATTTATGATGGTGGGCCTTGTGTTGTTCTCTGTGGATTACTCACCAGCTGACTGGTCTGCCTGAGGTAACTTGGACACAGAGTTCTGAAGCGTCGCCAGCTTCGACTTCATGATCCTGAGGCCCTCGGTAAACCTCATCTCCTGGCCTTTCAGGAACTTCTCCATTTGACGAAGCACCCCGACCACCTGATGTTTGTCCATGCACGTCTGTGAGTGAAGCATGAGCAGAGTGAGGAGTTTAAAAAATAAAATAAAATCAGTCCTGAGAAAAACGTTTCCAAAGACTTTCCAAACCAGAAAACGAGCGCAGTAATAAAAGTTACCTCAGAGTAATGGTCATAAAATATAAAACATGAGCAGTGTGTTGAGCTGTGCAGAGTGGGGGAACATGATGTCACTGAAACTACATACAACTTTTAGCACAGTGTTGTAAGTTAAAAAGAGATTCATAGATATAAAAATATCAGGTGACCCTGAAAACCTGGGAATCTTCACATGCTGAGACGTGGAACTACATGAAAGTTACCTGAGGTAGAAAGCTAGTTTGGTGCCTTAAAGCTACTCAGAATACGCGGTTCAAAATAATTTGCAGCAACATTTGAATGTACATGTGAGACAAAGTTATGACGAGATATTACAGAAAAGCAGCAGGACAGAAAATAACACCATTTAACTGATTTATCAAAAAAGAGCTGATGAGTTAAGAGGTCATAAATACCCCTTAACATGCAAACATCAGTCAGACCGCGGCTGTAGGAGCCCTATTGCTCATCATGTTAAATCTATGGATGCATGTAATCATTTTTGTTCATTGGATCCAGGAGGGGGAGGGGCTTGTGGACTGAATTGGGTTAGTTGAGACTAGTAGAGAGAGTGGAGCGACACAGTCTTTTGACCTCTGTCCTCATCTCTCTCTTTTTGTATAATTTTTGGATTTACCTGTATCAGTTTTTTTGTTTATTTTTACCGAAGTAAACATTTAAACTTTGATCGTGGTCTTGTAAGAGAGGTTTTTTTGGGAGCGTCAAGCTACAGCTACCTACACCGGCCAACAGCAGCTTAGAGTCCGTTCAGTTTGGGGAGTTGCAGCAAAGAGAAAGAAAATATCCAGCATGAAACATTTCTCATCAGTCAGATTAATTGGTTCCAATAAAGTGGATTTATTCTGGATTCAGACGAGACAGGCTACAATAAAAGTGTTGTGTGAAACATGAAGAATGGCCGATTGAAGGGCACTGATGGCCTAGCGGTTAGGTCGCCCCCCCCACACATGTATGGAAGCTCCTCCAAGCGAGCGGCCTGGTTCAAATCCGACCTGCGGCTACCTTCCTGCATGTCATTCCCCACTCTCACTCTCATTTCCCACTTCATCCACGAGCTGTCTAAAGAAAGGCAAACAGACCATACATAAATCTGTTTGTTTTAACAGCCGAGAAAGTATTTTAATATTTTCCCGCCCTTTATTTTGATTTGAAATATTCAATAATAATAATCACAGATCATCCTTTTTTTTAAAGGTTTATTTTGGGGCTTTTTGTGTATTTACTTTAGAGATAGGACAGTGGATAGATTCAGAAATGGGGAGAGAGAAAGTTGGGGAATGGCATGCGAGGAAAGGAGCCACACGTCGGATTTGAACCTGGGCCACCACAGCCTCCGTACACAGGCCGTGCACTTTAACCACTAGGCTTCCGACGCCCCAGATTGTACTTTCTTTTAATGCAGGCCTAAAAACTTACATAAAAAACTCTATTCATCTGATTTCCTGTATTTTTATGTAAGTTTTTCCACATTATCGTGCAGCCCTGTAACATTATTCAAGTGTAATTCTACAAATTTAACATTTCAAACATGGAGAACTATAACAAATTACTTTTTGTACGTTGTGGTAAAGATAGAAATCTGTCCTCTTTGAAAACACCTCAGCCTGTCCTAAACTAAACAATCACATCTTTTCTTTTTATTGGGGCAAACATCTGGATGTAGTGTTGCCTGACTCATTCTTAAAAAGCTAAGAAAACACTCTTTTGCACCTCCCTTCTGCAAAAATTGCCCCAAATTGTTTGCTGTTATGAAAGGTTAAAGGTCATCTGAAACACTATGCATATATCAATATAGATTGACAAGTAAGCCGTTACAGAATTTAGATGAAACGTTCATTCTCTGTTTTTTAATTCTCCTTAACTCTGAGTATTGCTGAGATAACCCTCCGTGTTTGATTTCACTGAAGGATAGTTTTACTTAGTTTCCACTAGACCTCACTGCACTTGCATGTGAGTTGTCTCACAGCTAACACCATCTCTTCTTCTATCCTCTTCTCTTACTACCACATATCCAGTGGCTTACACAGCTGGACAAAAGCTGTCTGGCAGATGTCAGAGGGACCTGAGTCCAAAACGCTGCTCCTCTGTATATTTTGCATGGCAGTGTATGCTCATTGGACAATCCTGAATGGGTAGACTCAAAAATAGCATGGGGGTGCCACTAGCAGTTACTCAAAGTGTAAAAGCTTGTCAAGGCATTACAAAGTTCCTCGGGGGAAAGTGCCTCTAATCCTTTCAGGAGAGGTTTATTAATCACATGCTCATTGGAACAATTTCTCTGTGCAGCAGCATACCTTACATTCCTGAACTGGCATTTGGGGGGGGGGGGGGGGGGGCTTGTACGATAACAACCTGCTCCGATACATTCAAATTCATTCTTTGGACATGTGCAAGAAGAAGCCTGACAGTGCTCTGATCCTTTCACCTGCCCCCAAGCAAAGGAGAGGAAATGCCAACAGCTGACAAGGCACGAGAGGATTCATATCCGGGCACTACAAAGAACATATTTTTGAACAATTTCTCTATAAAAAAAATTGTAGAGTATGATCACAAACCTTGCAAAAATAAAAACAACAGTCAATTAGAACAGATGGAACATGGGTGATTGGTCAAAAAGGGATTAAAAACTTTGGAGTATATTTTGGACAAAAAGGTGCAAAAAAGTTGACAACTTCAGGCTGTTAATCAGATGGTGCAATTAACTTGTTTTTAGAATAGCAAAACACATTTTTCGATTCTTTGATTCATTCTGGTCAGGTGTTAGATCTCCCTTTGTAAATCTTAAGTGGCTACGTAAACAAACGTAAGGTAACTTGTTCTTACCTGAACGGCAGCATGACCTCCCTGGACAGCTGTCAAACACAGCAAAAGCAAACACCTGCGTCGAAAAGACAGTGCCATCTCTGAAAGTCGAAGTGATAGGCTACCGGTCCCTGATGAGGTTCTCCAATATTTAGAAAGCTTCTATTGTTATTGTTCTTCGATTAAGACCGAGAAAACCAGTAATGTGTTGGGCAGATCCGTTGCTCGGGGCTCGGAGAGTTTGGAAGATGCTCATCAGGTGTCTGAGAGCGGAGATGCTCTTCACTCTCTTGTTCGTGTGCTTCTCGGAGAGTTCAGCCTTTGAGCTCTGCACGCCACCTTAAAGTTTCCTGCAGCAAAAATCCCTCCCACCGAGAAACTCCCAAAACATTGATACGTTTTTTCCTTCTTCATTTCCCCGTGGCTGGAAGGCAAACCTTTACAGTGCACATCCTACCAGCTATTTCTGACGAGTTCAATACAACATTAATCAGTTTTTTTTCTGCACCGCAGTTATAAGAGAGGCTTAACAATGATTATCTCCTTACTTAAAACTCATGTGGTTGCATTTTTTCCTGAATAAACATCCTCACAATACCTAGCCTATTTATTACAAAGCAGTAACTAAACAATGTGATTTGTATTTTACTTAAAGAATAAAAAACTAAATAAAACAAACTGTTGAACTTTTTGTGTTATTTACAATCTCAGTATTTATTTCAATTCAGTTCTAATGACATAAATCATGTAACGTATTGAATTCCAATTCAGTTAACTCATTAATTAACCTACTGTTGCACGTTAACACTTCCTATACCATTAGGCCTATATTGAATTTTTGCAAATACTATTCAATAAAGTTTGTGGGGTAAAACTACCAGGCAACCTGGTTAATGTTTATTTTCTACATAAAAACTACAACAGTCCCTTTATTGGCACATTGTTGTTCTGTTTACTTATAGGCAGAGGCGCTGCTTGTCAACTTGCAAGCGAGGCAATTGCTTGGGGCCCCAGGGGGCTGACAAACTTAAAACTGCTGCAATAGAATTGACAGTAGGAAACCTCCCTAATGGGGCCCCATCTGACAGAGGAATTATCTGTATGGGAGTGAAAAAGAAAGAAGAGTGTCAGATGGAATGGCCCCAATTAAATTTAGCCTATAGGGCCCCAACAGACTTTAGAATGGCCACTGCTCATAGCCTACTTTACTGGAAGCGCATCGTGTATGTTGGATCATAACACAGTTGTTCAAGCAAAGCTACCTGTTTGTGTTTTTAGATTAGAAGAGCCGGAGTTATGCTGAGAAATGCAAAGGCTACACCTCCTAAGACATCAAAAATGTGGCAGACACACTTTCTACACTGCCAAACTGCATCTATTCTGAAAATACTATGCTGCCCTAATTTTGTATCTCTTAACTTTCCTCTCCAGACACTTCAGAGTCAAACACTAACTAATAAAAATGCTTCTTATACCGAGTCTACTGAATAATAATAATAATAATATGGAGACCAAACATTTATTTAGTAGAAACTTCAAATACTCTGTCATCACAAATCTGACCCCCAAAAATAAGATTCATACAGTTTTTCTGACACTTCCTGCGAGGTGCGTCCAGTTCTCGGCAGGGATGCATTTCTCGGCGTAACACCTGAACTACATCTAGTGGCCAATCACAAGAGTGCACGAGCGGCTGAATCCAAGGTGTCGTCATTTAGAAACAAGGAAATAAATAAATAGGAAGCTTGTGAGGCGATAGAGAAAAATGAATGTGTTTTTAATGCTTGTAAAAACAGAATAACTCGACTGATTATTACCGCGTAATATTCACAGTCTGTGCGTAATACACCAAGTCATACATTAAAACTGACAAAGGACATAACTGAACGTCGCATACACTTCGTACTACAGATGTTGAAAATGACTGACATGTATTTGAACCAATAAGAACCGCAGTTTTCTTTATTCCGACCAATCGCAGAGGAGTACGCCTTCCATCCTGTTAGATAGATCCGATAGGACTATAAATACGCGGAGGAATACACGATTCGGGAATGTGCTGCTGCTGCAAACCTCAGAAGCCATTTTGAGATGAAGTCCCTGTTGAGAAAAGCCATGAAGATGCTGAAAACAACGAGCATGGTTACATTTCTGTCTGTTTCTCCCTCCGTCTCCTCCTCCTATTTCACCTTGGCAGCTGTCAACCGACCGGGACATTATAAGCAAAGCGGGGTAATCAAGCTGCGCTCACAGCAGGGTTAAAACGTCATTGAGTCTTGTTTACTGTCTCTCTGTCCAGACATGTAACACCGTGAGTTTTTCTCCAGTCTGAAATCTTCCAGCATCTCTCACACAACGCAACACAACGTCTCCTTGAGTGACTGTGTCAATTCACTCTTTGTACCGGAGAGAAAAAGGAGGCTTTCCAATGGCTTCTGTGAGCCTTGTTTCCAGTCCCCCTGCCCCTGTTCTTGACAAAAACATGACAGACTCTGAGCTTGCAGGGGATGAAAGGTCGAGTACCAATCTTATGCAATTCTTAACACGCTCATCTGTGCGTTTAAGTGCTGTGGGTGTACATGCTGAATGTGTTAATGTTATCTCTCTTTTCTTTCTTTGATTTTCTTTTCTTAAATCATCAATTTGCAGACAAAAGTCCCCTTCAAAATAATCTTTGCATGCTCTTTGGTGCAAGTGATAACGCTGCTGTCCAAATAGCTCAGGTTACCCATCACGTCGTCGATCATATTTCCATGCAAAGGTACCAGACCCGTCGTCGTTTGTGTTTGCTGTACGACTGGAACTGGATTCATGGCTTCATTGTTGCGAGCTGCAGGAGACTATGCAAAATAACTATGACGCAATTGCCACGCCCATCCCCCGGCTCTGTACTCCCCTCTAGCGGGCGCACGGTGGTTCTGCAGAGACGGGGTTCATGCAGGGTTGACATTAATGTGATTGTGCTGGGTTTAGGCCATGCCTTTGTCCTTGTGGTTTGACTCTTGTAACGTGTGAGCATTAAGAGGGTCAGTTGTTTTCTGCTGGTGTGGAGAAGGAGACGCTGGTTTTGAATTGTGTCAGCTGTTGAAGGTGTGCATGTCTCTTGGCTTCATTTCTTCTTAGACGAACACATCAGTGTTAGGAAATGTTCAGAAGAATCCCAAAAGGGACGTAAGAGCTGAGCAGGAACATTATGCTTCTTCTAGTGCACCTGGTGGTACTTACTTTATTCCTGGTTTCAAGAATGTTCCTCCATTTGTTGTTAATCTTCACTTTGGTGCAGGTGAATTTAAAATACAGGAAAGGTATAAAGTTTTCGTAGGCGAGTTGGAAAGAGTTTCTCATCCAGTCTTGAGGTGTTGTCTGCGGGTTGGATAAAGTACGCTGGACGCTGTGGGTGTTGAGGGTTTCATGGTGAAGCATGTTGTGCTCTATATCAGAGGATGTAGTTGCTATAAGAGCTGAAACAAAAGATCAGTTATTCTCTAAAATTAGCTTTTAAGATTCAATATTTAGTGTTTGAATTATTACACAGTCTTAACAAAAATACTTCTCACAAATTATCAAATTGTCGTTTTTTAAAAAGACTCTTTTGACCGAACCATGACCTTAAACTTTTGAATATAATGTATTTATTTAATAGGGATAATGCATGCAATAGTTTGAGTACAAAGCATGACACTGATGTGCTGCACAGAGAGCTAATAGCTAATGCTAATCCCTCGGGCCTTCGGGTAAACAAACAGTCGAGTTAAAAAAATGACCAAAACGTTTTAAGTCCTTTAATTCCAGAAGCTAAGATTAGCAGATCTTTGGCGTTTTTGCTTGGAAAAATCCCCCGAAATGTGTTGAGTATTTCAGAGCAACAAAATAAATAAATATGCATTAAAAATTCAAATGACTGTATCTGAACTTTGTGCTGACTTCACATACAAACAGGAAGCAGCAGCAGCTGTCAGGTTTTCAAATTAAAAGTTTTAAACTGAAGTGTAAAGGTTGTACTTGTTGATCACACAGAAGGAGCTGTTCCACCTCGTCTGAGCGTCGTCATGGAGACGATTTGTGGACACTTCTTACAGTTCAGTCTGAAGGTCTTCAGAGCGAGACTGTGCGAGCGTCAGGGGGCGTCGGTTCCGACTCGTAAATTACGTCAACATCAGACCAGATACCGACATTAGATCGGATCCGTCCCGTCTCTTCTTTGAATGTTAATGATGATAATTCACCTTTTGTCATTTCTGGCTCAGCGACATTTAGTTTAGACTCAAGAGAAATACTGAAATAATCTCTGACTCCAGGCGGTGACAGAGGAGAACAGAATAACCGTCCCTGAGGGGAAAAGTTCAGTGATCTTTATTCTACCTTTTATCTGTAAATGAACTACACACCTGTCACCAGGAAGTCAGAACGTAGTCCTGAATTTAAGACTTTTGAGAACAGGGAGGATAGGGTTAAGTTTTGTAGCTTGTTATGGATGATGTTGTTGGGTTTATTTCCTTAAGTTATAGCATCAAGTGATTGAGGATAATTTGTCCTGCTCCTGATGTGAAGTTTGATTTTCTGTCTGAATCTTAGGTAATGTTGTGTTTAAATCCCCTTTCACTAAAATACTCCCCGTTTCTCTTTTAGGGAGGACGGCGAGCTGGAAGATGGAGAAATAGACGACGAAGGGATCGGGATCGAAGAGGAAAACAAAGAGGCGACGGAGGCGACGGATGACAAAGAGAAGGAGAAGGAAAAAGAGAAGACCAAAGAGAAAGAGGAGAAGACGCACAGGCACTCGAGGAAACGATACAAGAAGACGAGAGAGAAGAGGAGGTCTAAGAGGAGGAGGCGTGACAGACAGAAAGTGAGAGTTCACACCTGTGATTAAAGACATAATGGACTGTGTTTCTGTTAAAGATACTAAAGCCTGACTTTGATCTGCTCTCTCTCAGCATCACTCCCCCTCCAGCAGCTCCAGCTCTGACAGCTACGACTCCGACTATGACCGACAGGAAAGGCCCAAAAACAGGAAGAGCCAGGGATCAAACCGCGAGTCCGACGGCCAGTCCTCTCAGGTGACTGAATCTCAGCGTTACTGTTTTTCTTTTAAACAATCATCACCAACCCCGTGTGCTAACTTTCTCTTTAACCTCTGACCTTACAGCACGGCCGGGATTCAAAGGGAGCACACGGCAAGTCGCCGCCGCCGCCGCCGCACAAGAGCAGCGATTTTGACAAATACAGCGACTACAGCGACGACAAGTACGACTACGACGAGGAGGAGGAAGAGTACGAGGACGACATGTCGGAGTACCCGATGTCCAAAGAGTCCCAGAATCAGGGAAGGGGACGCCACGGCAGAGAGCAGATGAAGAGAGGAAACATGAGGGGGATGAAGCAGCAGCAGTGTAAGAGCACTTTCAACAACCACAGTGAATTATCCAGATGTATCATGAGTGAGAAGAGTCATCAACGATGAGGGAGTGAAGGTTCTTCTTGAAATGTGCTTTTTCAGTCGGGCAGAGGGGGAGGGGCAGAGGGAGCGGACCAGGAAGAGGACGAGGGATGCTCAACAAGAACAAGAAGCTGAAGGGGAAACCCTGGGGAGGTCGAGGTCGAGGTCGGGGAGGAGACCAGGGCATGGAGGACATGCCTCCGGTTAGTACTCCTCTGAACATTCAGCCAAATGTCTTACAGATATAATGTATTAGAAGTTAGGTCAAACATACCGCACTTTAACAAGTTTCATAAATTAAAGGAGCAGTATGTAAATTCCACCACCAGGGGGCTCTCAGTTAAAACAAAAACAAAGGTGATGTTGAGGCTGGTGGGGAATCATGGGAGTGATTCTCTTGTTTTGTTTTTGTCTCACAGGAGGGAAAAAACTCTTCCGGCTTCCAGAAGAAGCGGCCAATCATGAGCAAGGAGTTCATCAACCAGCACACAGTCGAACACAACGGGAGATACATCTGCAAGTATTTCCTGGAGGGCCGATGCATCAAGGTAAAGTCACACTGAGACAGATGTTCTTTTAAAAATATTTATTTTTGGGGCTTTTTGTGCCTTTGAGAACTACAGCCTCTGTACGTGGGGAGCATTTGGCCACTGGCGCCCAAACTACAGATTTTTCTGATAAAGAGACTAGTATGTGCCGGTGCAGGGGTTCCCAAACTTTTCAGCTTGTGACCCCCAAAATCAGAGTGACAGAGACTAGGGATAGAGTCAGAAATCAGGCAGAGAGAGAGAGAGAGAGAGAGAGAGAGAGAGAGAGAGAGAGAGAGAGAGAGAGAGAGAGAGAGAGAGAGAGAGAGAGAGAGAGAGAGAGAGAGAGAGAGAGAGAGAGAGAGAGAGAGAGAGAGAGAGAGAGAGAGAGAGAGAGAGAGAGAGAGAGAGAGAGAGAGAGAGGAATGACATGCAGAGAAGGAGCCACATGTCAGATTCAAACCTGAGCTGAGCGCTCTAGAGGACTTAAGCCTCTGTACATTGGGCGTGCTCACTGACTGCTAAGCTACCGTTGCCTGGAAATAAGGCTAGCAGGCTGTGTTTTATTTTTCTTTAAAGTCAAGAAACCTCATTTCCATGAGCGCGCTGGTAGGTGAGAGGGGTGACCTTGTATTGAATCATGAATGCGATAGGGAGCCGGTGCACTCTCATCAGGATCCTGGCATGTTGTTTTCACTGTGTTGGAGCTTCTGGAGGCTCTTGTTAGGGATCCCGATGACGAGTGTGTGGCAGAAGTCTGGCCCTAAGTTTCTCAGCATCTGACAGGGAGAGGGTGGGACGGAGGTTGGCAATGTTTTTTTGCACAGATGTTTAATGTAGTGTACAGTGTAATTATATAATGTGAAAAATATGTGTGCAGTATCTTTGCTTTAATACAGTGTATAGCTTCTGTACAGTTTATTTTAATTTACTTAGCTGTTACTTCAACTTATTTTTTTTTTTTATTTGTACTTTTCTACTCTTTTTTTCTTATAGTGTTATTCTATTTTATATATAATTTTAACTTTCTTGTAGAAGCTGACTCAGGGAGAAACGCCCAAGAATTCCAATGTACCTGTACTGTACCTGTGCAAATGGCAATAAACATCTGTTCTATTTTATTCTAATGTGGTCCTCAAAGTTTTAATAATGACCGGCCGGCTGAAAATGAATAATTCAGACTGATCACTTTCTTACCTGATGATTAATATATTTTTTTCTTTATGCAGGGGGAGCAGTGCAAGTTTGAACACGAGCTCGTAATACCAGACAAGAAAAGGGAGCTGTGTAAATTTTATCTCCAAGGTTACTGCAGCAAAGGAGATAACTGCATTTACATGCACAATATCCTTAAAGAACGAACGACCGGTTTCAATCACATTTGTCTTAATGCAGTTTGTGTAATGAAGAGCCAGATGAATCTTTTCCTTAACCTGCGACTGAACATGAATACCCGTGCAAGTTCTTTCACACTGGAGCCAAATGTTATCAAGGAGACAACTGCAAGTTCTCCCACTCGGCTTTGAATGATGTCACCAAAGAGCTGCTTGATAAGGTGGGATGAAAAAAATGAAAGATGAGGAGATTTTCCATCAAAGGTCGACAGCTGTCTTATTTTTGCTCTCATCAATCAGATAATTAACACCGAGGAGGAGAACGCGCGCGAGGACGAGTTGGAGCTGGAGGATCTGAGAAAGCAGGGCATCGCCCCGCTTCCCAAGCCGCCTCCCGGGGTGGGTTTGCTGCCGACCCCCGGTCAGAGCAGTCCCACAGACGGAGGAGCCTCGGGCCAGGCGGGGAAGAAGATCCCCTCTCTGTTTGAAATCAAAGTTCAACCCACTGTAGACCTGGCGCAGAAAATTGCTCTGAGGTAAACCAGAAATCTGTCTTAAAGGTTTTATATGTGATTTTTTACACTTAAATATAATATAAATCCAGTATCTCCTCTGAAAATAACTCTGTGAGTCATGACTGTCTACAATGGGTGTAACACCCGAGTCCCACTGTCTGTGATCTCCTCCCCTCGTGTATAAAAGTTGTTTAATTGAGGGACTAGAGAAAAGAAGAATAACATACTGTACTCACTGCTTAACTGTGTTTCTAGATCACGCTCATTTCAGGTAAATTTACATGCAGTGTGAAGATACCAGCAGAATAAAGATCGCTAGCATTAGCATGCTAACACAACAATGCAGCGCGAGTTGTTTTGGTTTCATGCTGGTGCTCAAGGGCGACATCTGCTGGATCAAAAAATCACATATAAAGCCTTTAAATCAAACTTTTTAAAGATGTTTTTTGGATCTCCATTCTAACAGCGCATTTTCAATTCCAGCGGATCCAACTTCTCCCAGAATGAAGGCGAAGGCACCGACGAGTTTAGCGGAGGCTCAGAGGAAACCCCGAGCGGAGGTAATGTGCCTTCGGCCACCTTTCCGTCTTCTGTCCCTCCCCCTGGGTCACCCGGTCCCATGGGTCACCCCACAGGACCCGCCATGCCCCAGAGCCCTCCAGGACCGCCCCCACCACCACACGGATTTACAATGCCGCCGCCACCGATCCTCCCTTCTGGTCCGCCCCCGCCCTTCAGACCCAACATGCAGAGGCCTCCGTTCCCTCCTCCCGATCTACAGATGCTGCAAAGTCTCTTCCCTTTTCCATCCATGGGGCAGAACCCGGCGGACATCTTTGGAAGTTTTCTCCAAAACCAGACTATGGGTCAACAAGGAGGTGAGAGTCACATTTAATATGGTTCATTATTCCATTGAAACAGTTACTGGATATTTAAAAAAACATGCCTTATGTTCTGTTTTCAATGCTTTAGACCCGGCGATGGCCTTCATGCAGAACCTCCAGCAGCAGATGGGCGCAGAGTCACAGTTGCAGTCTTTACCACCAGCTGTACAAAAAGCCATCTTTTTACACCTGACGCAGCAGCAGCAGCAGACAGAGATGAATCCACAGGGGACAGAAACACTGAGAGCAGAGGGCCAGGATGATAACAGTGCAAGCAGAGGTAAGTGGTCAGGAGGAGGAGGGGGGGCTGAGGGAGGCTGAGCTCAGACTACAGAAGTCTGGGTTTATTAATACCTGAGTCATACTTTGGGTGGGTCATGATAAATTAAAACATGTCCTTAAGTCATTAGAAATCTGAATCTGGACGATATGTATTACATATTTTGTAATGACAGAATCACAGTGATACATAAAGTATAATATAGATTACATGTATATAAGTGATGTCTCTGGATGATGTTGCTGCTGTGGTCTTTGTCGCTGCGGGGCAGGAGTGTGTCCGACATGCTTGGCCAGCTGGCCCTAGTCGAGCTCCTCTTGAAACAGCGGAACACATTTTCATAAAACTGTAAATATTAATAATCTCTGTCGTGGCAATCTAACAACCAAAAGTGCCACTGAAGGGAACCCGAAGTAATTTCCAACTCATGGTGTGTAAAAAGGGAATGTCCACCGTTGATTATGTTTGAAGTATTTATTTATTGACAATCTTAAAGAGCACCAACAAAAAGACGGGTGTATACTTTATCACACAAAACGAGCTCGTAAACATAAACAAACACTAAACGTGACAGATCCAGACAACATCTTTACACACAGTCATGGTTGAAAAACTTCCCCCTTCACCTGTGTCTCCCTTTTCTCCCTACCTGTTGCTGTACTAATTTACCACATATGCCCAGGAGCGCAGGTGACGTAGCAGCGGACAACATTTACATAACTTACCACCCAGCCACACAATAAACCACATCAGATTAGCTACAACAATCTCCAACATCAATTTGATAAACTCAAAAACGTGAATTTAGTGAAGAGTAGCTACAAAAAATCTTGAAAACACGCTCGCTCACTCCCCTCCTCCTCTATGAAAGTTCAGACAGTAAAGGTTGAGAATCGAGCGGCTCGATGAGTGGAGGGGCGATTATCTGGCACAACTTCACCAACTACCAAGGTGCATGAAGAGTGAGAGAGGTCAAAAAGCTCCAGCAACACTTTGTTAACAAATTAGAGCGACGCGTTTCAGCTTGTGGTCTTCATCAGTTCAGTCGTCATTCAGTTGAGTGGGCCAGTTCTGTTTTTTTTGTGTACTGTAAACCATAAATCTCTGTTATATGCTCCTCTGGTGTTAAAAAATGAAGCCGGAGCGATAGTGCAGGTTGAAGTCAGTCTCTGTTTTGTTTGCATCTGACATCAAAGGAAAGAACATTTTCTCCTTATGTGAGTGATCCAAGTGGATTATCGAATAACAAAACTCGTCGTCTAAACCCCTTCTTACCAAAGAGACCGAATATTTAAATCTGATTTAAAGGCTTTATATGTGATGTTTTGATCCAGCAGGTGTCGCCCTTGAGCTCCAGCATGAAACCAAAACAACTCGCGGTGCATTGTTGTGTTAGCATGCTAATGCTAGCGATCTTTATTATGCTGGTATCTTCACACTGCATGTAAATTTACCTGAAATGAGCGTGATCTAGAAACACAGTTAAGCAGTGAGTACAGTATGTTATTCTTCTTTTCTCTAGTCCCTCAATTAAACAACTTTTATACACGAGGGGAGGAGTCAGCCGGCCGTCCCGACGATGTAAACAAAGTGAAGATAGGACTCTGAAAACTCTGAAAACATCACAGACAGTGGGACTCGGGTGTTACACCCATTGTAGACAGTCATGACTCACAGAGTTATTTTCAGAGGATAAACTTGATTTCATTTATATTTAAGAGTGAAAAATCACAAATAAAGACTTTAAACTTTCTTCACAGATGAAACAACAAACTGGTACTCCAGTGACGAGGAAGACGGGAGCTGCGTTTCTTCCATCCTTAAAACTCTCAAGAAGCAGAATGAGATGCATCAGGCTCAGTCCAAGCCCCCCCAAGCCGCCCCGCTGGCTCCAGCACTCGGTGACCCTCGGACTGTGAAGGAGAGGGGCCCTCCTAGTGATCCCCGAACGAAGACGGACCCACGACAGCGCCCCCCAGATATGAAAAAGGAGTCCGATGGAGCCGCAGATCCCCGGCTCTCCAGAGACCCCCGGAAGATGAGGCAGATGGAACCGAGCTCCTACCGTCAGCCGGCTCCTAAGAAGCATTCTGCGGGAGACGAGGACGAGGAGGGGGAGAGGGAGCTCAGGGAAAAAGCTGTTCTCATCCCTCTCGACGCCAGCCCCAATGCGGTGCTGCGGGACCCCCGGTGCCAGCTGAAGCAGTTCAGCCACATCCGGGTGGACATCCTCCTGCAGCGGCCGGCCTTCGCTCAGGCGGTCATCTGGGCCCCTGAAGACCTCATCCCGTCTCTGGTGCCCAAACAGGAACACTCCATCAACCTGCCTCTCCCTCCCCTGATCGCAGACGCTCAGATGAACCGAGCGAGCCTGCCTGATCACCCACCGGTCTCCAGCCCTCCGCCCACCGACCCCCGACTGGCCGCTGCACGTCTGAAGGAACGCATGAGTCGACTATCCTCTGGATCTCTAGAAGCCAGATCGTCCGCTGAAAGACCTGCAGATCCGCGTCAGCAGAAGACCTTAGACCCCAGACTGAAGCGCACAGGGAGTCTGGATTCAAAGCTGATTGGTCAGAAAGAGCCGAGCGCAGGAGGAGGAGGAGTTGTTGACCCGAGGCTACAAAAGGTGAATGCTAGCTCCTCATCTCATGCCGCTCGAGCCAAACAAGAGCCCGAGAGGCTGCCGCCGTACGCCCCTCGCCTCGCCTCCTCCTCCGGTGGCGGGCTGGAGAGTCCCACCACCATCCTGGGGGGCATCAGTCTGTACGATCCTCGAAACCAAAGCGAGCAGCAGAAGGAGCAAGCGGAGCCTCCTAAAAAGGTGGGGATTCTGAAACTCCCAGAAAAGAAAGACCACAACCCGCCACAGTCTCACTCGCCGACGCAAAGGAGCGAGTCTTTGGAAGATGCCAAGAGCACAGACGGCGCCTCGGATCAGCCTCGTCCCTCCAGCTCCCCTCCCCCGCCCCCGGCCTCGCCCATCAAACCCCCCGCGGTTCATAACCTCCCCATCCAAGCTCTGGCCGGGCTGATCCGACCCCAGTACACCGACCCCAGGCAGGCCAAACAAGCAGGGCAAGGCTCTGCGGCACAGGAGGAGGCGGAGGAGAAGAAGAAGGAGGAGAAGAAGAAAGAGGAGGAGAAGAAAAAGAAGGAGAAAGAGGAGGAGGAGGAGAAGAAGAAGGAGAAAGAGGAGGAGAAGAATAAGGTGGAGGAGAAGGTGGAGGAGGACAAGGACAAGGAGGATAAAAAGGAGGAGGGGGGGGTGGAGGAAGCAAAACAAGGCGATGCCGAGGAGGACGCAGACGACCGGACTCTCAAAGACGTGTTTAAGACTTTTGATCCCACTGCCTCCCCTTTCTGTCAGTGAACACTTTTAATCTTTATATCACATATTTATTTCTGTATAAAAAATGCTCCTGTATAGAATCACATTATACTGTGCTCCACACATTTGTGAGCACGGAGATGATGTTGGTGCACAGATGAAACCTTTGAATCATATTAAGTGTGTTCTGAAGGTGTGTATGTTCAGGTCTTTTATCGTGTTGTTGTTTTTCTTGTGTGTTCTGAACAATCAGAGACTAAAGACCTTGTATAGTTTTCACTAAGGACTGAGCTGTATGTTGTTGACTGAACTCTTGATCACAGCCTGTGGAGTATAGATCCATTTTAATCTCTAGTTTTCACTCTTTTTTTAATTTTTGTTTTTATATAGAGACGATGCAAATGAATCGATGAAAGCAGCGAGTGACCTTGAACTTTTTGTATTTTCTTATTTATTTAAAGGCACTTATTTTAAGATCTGTGTGTTTCTGCTCACTTTTTACGATAAGGGAGTTTTCACAGATGTTTTCTAGAACGTTTTACATTTTGTTATTTTTCACAACATATCCTGATATGAGTCTGTATTCACATCCAAGCAAAATGCAAACAGGTGCATGACATAAAAAAATGGTTTTAACTGCACACAGTTCAGCTCCCAATGAGCGACATTAGTTTTAACAGGTCAACTGTTTATTTTCTGCTCCATGTGGTATCTGTCTCCCTCTTGTGGTTGCTGTACTCATGGCCTTTAACGGGTGATAATGATAGTTCACTGATTGCCTAACTTTAGAAAAGATCAGGGGCGTGGCCAGACTTTTTTTGACTGGGGTGGCCCACTGACTTTTGCAGGGGTGGCATGAGCTTTGTGAGCACTGAATTATTTTTTTTTACTTTTCTATCCCCTCTAATGGTCTGAACTTACAATCAACCCAATTGTACCACATATAAATCTTCCTAGCTTGATTCTTTAGGGACTGAAAAACAAAGATGTGCAAAGTCACAATTTAAAGCACTTACAATATTGCATGCAACTTGTGCACGCTGTCTAACTTGCAAAAATCCATGTATTGGCAAGTATGTCTACTGCAAGTTAGACAGCATGCACGAGGGTTTGCTTGGACATTTTAGGGGAAAACCAAATAATGCAAAATATGCGTTAACAACAGAAAGTACTAACACCATTTTTTTTTTTTTTTTTTAACTATTATTAAGAAAATACTTAAAAAAAAATCTGAAACCATCATTAGCCTGTGGTCCTGCCTCTGGTTAGCCAATCATAGTTTTGGAGTGGCCAATCAAACCAGAATCAGGATCAGAAATACCTTATTAATCCCAGGGTGGAAATCGTTTAATGTCAAGGGGGACCCATGCCACCCCTGGCAACCCCTCTGGAAACGCCCCTGGTAAGGACTACAGTATGTGTCTCCTGCCACATGTGCCAGAGGACGATCCTTTAGATCGAAACGTTGAGCTGAACAGTGTGTCGACCTCTGACATAACCATGAACATTGCAGAGAACTTTTAAAAACATTATTTGCTGAAAACTCACAGAGAAGTGATTGCTTTCTATTTGCTTTAGTAGCAGGTTCCTTTAATTGAAGCTCTTTAATTTAAAACAGCTTGCAGAAACGGTTGCACGTCTCCCTTTTAATCCGAGAAGACATTTTTGATTTGTAAACATCTAATATTCAATTTCTATTTAGTACAATGTTTGTTTTTCCCGTTTTAGTGGCCTAAATGATTAAGGATATAACATCACATTTGAAGGTTTTTTTTGGACTTGTTAATCAACCCGTAAAACCTTCCAATGGAGTGGATTATTTTTGGTTATTTTGATGTGATTTGAGACCGCCATGCCTCAAAACAGTCTCTACTTCAAAGCTTGTAAATGGCTAGCAAAGTGTTATTTTACTGGTTTTATTTTACAGAGTATAAAAACAAAGAAAGAAAAATAGTGTACTATAAAGAAAGATCAAATCCTATCTTGGTGACATTGCAGATATATGTGACATATAAATGATCTAACGTCTATTTTAATGTTGAATTTTGTAGGATTTGAATAAATATGTTTAAATTGGTTAATGTGTCCCTAACATGGTTCAGGGGAGCGTCATGATAGGCGGGATGTTTTCAACAGTTGTGCATCTATCCTCATTTTACTGAAACTAAGCTATCTTTTTTTTATTGTTTTGAAAATTCACACTGTAAATTCATCTTTTCTATCACCTGTACAGACTGTTTGAGTGTTTTAATATGTAACATTTGGTTTGTTTTTTTCTGTCCGTGAGGTGATTATAGTTATAAAACTTGTATGACATTTTAACGACACATGCCCGTCACACTTCAGTGATTTTATCATTGATACCTGAAATAAACAGAACACATAAAGTTTATTTGTTTCAGAATTACTCGACTTGCATTTTTGCTTGGGGCTGCATGGTGCTGCAGTGGTTAGCGCTGTTTCCTCTGTCTTTATATGTCAGCCCTGTGATTGGCTGGCAAACAGTCCAGGGTGCACCCCCGCATCTCGCCCAAATGACAGCTGGGATTGGCTTCAGCCCCCCGCGACCCCAAACGGGAATAGACATATGGATGGACATTTTTTTGCATTAAATTGCATCAATCTTGGAACATGTTTAGTAATTTAACAAATGTCACCCTCAATAGAAAATATTTTAAGTAGAGATGTAATGTCCCGCAAGACAATTAAATATTGTTAAAAATATCCGACCGAATCCGACCTGTGGCTCTTTTGCCGCATGTCATTCCCCACTCTCTCTCTCTCCCTGCTTTCCAACTCTATCCACTGTCCTATCGCTCTAATAAAGGCAGAAAATGCCCAAACATAAATCTTAAAAAAATATGGACGATTTTAGTCAGTTAGACAAAACATATATTGCAGTACTCTTTTAAACCAGCAGAGGGCGATCCCTTCTTTTGCTTCTCTTGTTCGACATCTGTCGTTGAAGCAGTTGCGCTGATCAGTGTTGCTTTTTGTAAAGATAAAATATTAAGTTACTACACAATTAAAATGTATATTTATGAAGGAAATCAAGGACAAACGATATTTTGCATTTCTACTTTAAGATTATTGTGATAAAGGGAATCATTTTTATTCTGAAATTGACATGAATCTTATGCATTTGGAAAAAATGTTGAGTTGGAAATAATCATAAAATTGTATTGTTAATCGAGTAATGTGATATGTGTTGTTGATGTGTATCGTTACATTCTTAATTTTAAATCATCCAACAGGCTGAGAATCCTGCAGCCAAATCTTCATTATTACATCAAATAGACTAAAATAAATGTGTTAGGCTTCTTATTTTTTGGGATTACATTATTTCTTGTGCTTCGAAGAGATATTTGTCACAGTAACTGGTGGAGCAAGACTTGGTGCTACTGGGTGAGATGAGGTCTTCCTCAGACCCAGATCATCAGTCTCTGATGACGTCTGCTGGGCCCGGTGGATCTCCAGCTTCTTCCTCCACTGGAAACACAGAGCTGTCGCCTCGGCTCCGTCTGAATTTGGCTCTGGCTGCTTCAAACCCTGGAATAAAAAATAAATAAAAGTGCATGTTTGATAACAAAGCGATAACTGTTCCAAATGTGTAAGGATCCATGAATGTTAGATTTACTGTGATGCAGGCTGTCTCTGCAGCGTGGACCCCCCGCAGGACTGTCTGGAGTAGATTTTGCGCGTTCTTTACCAGGATCTCATCGGATGACTTGCAGCCTGGTGTTACAGCATTGACACTGAGGAAAAGAAATACATTTATTTAAAACTCTTTCTCTTCTTATTATTTTCAGCATGGTTGTATTTAATGACCAATCTGCTGTGACCTGGAGATGATGCTGAGCTGGTTGGTGATGGTGAGAATCTGCTCAACTATCAGAGAGAGCTCAACGGTGCACTGTTGATCCAGGCAGTGATTGGCAATAACGCTAATAAACTGAGTCACTGATTGACAGTTTGAGATCACGTCTTTTGCTGCAGCCACAAACGCCTCTTTACTCTGAAAAAGGAAAGGAGTTATTGAGGGTGCAGGTGCCTTCAAGATCTGATCTGTGTCTCAATAAAGGGGTGGCATCCTTCTGAGGGGGCATTTGAGACTGATAACATCCCAGCTGCATTTCAAAGGCTGCCCCATTTTGAAGGCTCCTTTACATACATCCTTTCATTTGCCAATAAAGGATGTATCTAATGAAACTTTCTTGGGCCAACATATCTCAAGACTGATTGTGTGCCTATTCAAACAAGCTAGCGGACTCTGAAGAAGCTAAGTGTCTCACTTGTACTGGTTTAAACTCAATCATATAGCTGCCAAAACTAATGTTAAAAATGAAACTTTAAATTATCTTTGAAGTAACAGGTTAGGTAATATATGTTGACTATGTTAGTTTGTTCTGGTGCGCTGTTGAGCTTGCTAGGTGACAGGTGCGGCGCTTAGAAACAAAAGGGTAAGTGCAGGGACAGCTGGTGACACGAGCCGAACAGAGGGAAATCCTCTGTAGACCAGACTGTCTCATTTCAATCCAGCTACAAATGCTACAAAGGCTAGGGTCCTTTGAAGGATGCTACCCCGCCATTTGAGACACAGCTCTGGTCATCAAAGTGCCCTCTGGTGGTCATTACCAGTATCGGGCCTCTCTTCTTCAGGTATTGAGTCATGTAACATATCGTGTCGGCCATCTTCCTGGTCACTTGGACAATTCGGTTGTCCTTGGGATCCCAGCTGTCACTTTCTTGCTTCAGAAAAAGGGAGGTGTAGGTGAGTGAGGAAGCTTCTTTGTATGCACCATCCTGAAGAGGAAACAGTAGAGACGTGATTAAGATTTCATGAAGGGAACCCTGAGCTGTGAATTGTCTTGCTGATCATAAGATACTTACATCTTTTCCCATATTTTCAGGTGCATGTTTGACCACTGCTTTGAAGTTTGTGTTTGGTTCTGCAGCGTCTGAACTTTCTATATTGCCTTTCTGGGAGTAACACACTGCCATGTCAGAGGGAAATTCCACATCTTTGACTTTAGACGGGATTGTAGTCGACCCATCTCTCATATCCTCAAGTGTTCTGCCCTGTAGTCCAGCCTTGATGTACTCTTTAGCCTCCAGGTGAACCCCATCTTGCTTCCTGATCTCCTCCACCACGTAGTGAGCTTTAGCGGACCAACACTGTATCTGCACATCCAGACTGAGTGTGTCACATATGTAATGAGTCTCTACTATGAGTCTCGCCCTGCTGATGATATCTGAGATCTGGAAAGAGAGGTGGTCGTTGATAGACCTCAGGTTGGAACGGGCGTGTGGGTCGCGTACATAGTTTAAGCAGTCCTCGACTTTTTTAGTCGCAAGTTTTACATTTTCAAAAAGGGTTTGGACTGCGTTTTCAAACTTTTGCTCTGCTTCTTCTGTGTTGTTCTCCCTAAAGTGTTCGGCAGCAAAATACGCAATGGCGGCAATATTCTGAAGCGCAGAGTCGTAATCCTTATTCGCTTTGCTCAAGTGCCCAGAAAGCACTCTGATTTTGATCAGGAGATGTCTTTGTAGGAACTCTGATGTCGCAAGCTGCATCACATTTGGCAGCCTGTCAAGCTCTTCAGAAGCTTTAAGATAATCTTCAGTCAGTGTTTTTAGTTCGTCCTGGTATCCCGATAGCTGTTTGGATTTGTAAGCACTTCTGCAATTCAAGCTAGTGAGCCTTGCTGCCTCTTGGATTCGCAGTGAGTTCTCAGACAAGACTGATAGCTGCTTTTGAGGACTCATGTGGTTCATCGCAGTTGATGTGCCCAAAATTTTGTCAAGAGAATTAAGTAGAATTTGAATGGACAAGCCCCAGAGGATACAAAGGCCGTCTAATTGATCCACCTGTCCTTCCATCGAGGTGGAAAACTCGACCAAGTATTTTGTGCTGTTCTGGGCTTTGTTCAGCTTGTTGTGTAAAACGCTGATTGTTTCCTGACCGTCGCTTTGTGAGGTTAAATCGGACGCCGTCAAGAGCTGGACCACGTCAGCACTCAGAGCCATCACTTTACTCAGCTGCTGTGTCACGGTGGTGGCATTCGCTGGCAGACTTCCCCGCAGCTCATTAAAAACAGCATGATACCAGGTTCCAGTGACGGGCAGTAAAACCTTTCGGGTGTTGTTAATAAGGTCAGAAAACAGCGTGCTGTGTTTGCGGACGCTCTCCGTGCTCATCGCCGAGCTCATCGCCGTCTCTTGAGCCGTCTGGACGAGCAGCGGCGTCAATGACACCAGCTCGGCTCTAAAACATTCCAATGTCTGACGATCGACCGCATCAACAACGGCCAAGGCTTCCTTCGCAGCTTGAGCGTAGCAGTTCGACAGCTCGAGGACTCCAGTGCAGGCCCGGTTGAGCGCTGTCACGTCTTTCCCTTTAGTCACAGTCACAACCTCGTACAAGAGGGGCAAGAGGTCAAATTCATGAGCCTTGTGGATCTGTTTGGGCTCGGCAGAGACAGCTGGGATCTTTAAATCATCTCTGTCATATTTATGAGGCAGCTCTGCTTCTATAGTTTCCTCATCTGATTGATCTTTCTTGTGTCTGGCTTGGGAATCCCTCTCCATAACCTCCAAAACGGGAGAATCCAAACCTCTTCTCACGTCAACCAGATTCAAACCATTGCTCACTCTGAGTGGAGAGCAGGACTGTGAGATCTCAGGCTGACGTGCCCCCTCTCTCAGAGGACTCAGGAGATGTGGATGCTGCTGTCCGTCCAGTCCCTTTCTGAGAACTTTAAAGTGCTCAATCGCCATGGACACATTATCTGAAAAAGTTCTATAAACCTCTACATTTAGACGGGAACCTACAAGCATGTCTCTTACTGACTCCCCCACTTTGGTATGAGACGACTGGACCGGTTTTAGCATAACTAGGAGGCCGTTCCTGTAGATGGGGTCATCGCTCCTCTCCAAGTGCCTCCTCACTGACTGAACCACCATCTTCATGTGACAGGTAAGATTCCCTGCGAGTTCCTTAAACATTTCATAGCTCTGCTCTCTGTACGCTGAGTCGCATCCATGCCGATCGTTGACCATCTCATCAACAGCAACACTGGTGAACTCCCTCACGTCGACGACATCACTTAGAGCATCCTGGAGTTGACCCATCTCCTCTTCCCAATGTTGACACACCTCGCGAAGCTTTTGAACCGTCTGCGCTGAGTTGTCTGCCAGCTCCAGGGAAAGAGGCGCGACTCGAGCTCTGAGCCTTGTAAGGAAGACTCTCGAGTTCTCCACACTCTCCAAACTCTTTGCGTCGTCGGCCACAGATGAGATGAAACTTGCCACCTGGATTATTCTATCAGTGGAAGAAATTAAATCCTCAACGAGAGGCTGTATGAAGTTCAGATCCAGATTTGTCGATGACTCTGCAACTAGGATCTGATTGGTCACGTTTAAAAGCTCCTCAACTGTGGACGACGCTATGACAAACGTGTCCAAGACTTGATATAGAACAGTCATCATCAAAGCTTTGTCGAGCATTTGTATTTGCTGCACCAAAAGTGTGCAGGTCTTCTCAAAGCTCTGCTCAGAATCATCCGAGGACTTTAAAATCTTCTATAAGTCCGAATAGAACTGCAGGATGTGACGACAATTACTCACAACTCTTTGCTGAAACTCACAACGAGAAGAGTTTGCAACGACCATACAGTGAAACACGAGATCTCTTATCAAGCTGTCAAAGCCACTGGCTTTGATGCACGATATGGAGGAACCAGTCAGAACTTGCAGCAGACTGTTCCTCCTGCCTATGTAGTACCCACAAGGACCAATCGATCCACTGTGGCATTCACTCTTCAGGGTTACAATAATGTCGTTCACTGTGTTCCGCACCTTGTCCAAAATGTACCGCTTCGCTTCCCTAGCCTGCTCGCTGGTTGGGTGTTTGATGGTCGTGCACATGGCCGTGTGCAGCATGGAGAGGCATCTCCTCAGGGTGTCCAGAGAATCAAAAAGCTGTTTGGATTGTCTTGGATCCTGCAGTGAATCTGCTCTCTCCACTGTCAGACTGTTGAGGAGACGCAGAGCCTCGGAGAACACCTGAAAAGACTTGAGCAGAGACCGGATGTCTGAGGAGGAGCCGAGCTGAGAGAGGCACTCCAGGACTTCATCAGCAGAGGCAACAACTCTCCTTACTTTAGCATCATCGTCCAGTAACAGAACCTAGGAAAGAGAGACGGATTTGGTTACTTGTTTCGTGGAATCACTTTGTTTTCGAGCTAGACTAGCAATACGTAACAAAGTAGAGTTGGTTATCCACCAATTTGCTCTTTAGTGGAACTTGAAATAAGGTGCAACCATGTATAGTCCCAAAAGAATGAGTCCTTTAGATCAGTGGTGTTCAACTGGTGGGTTGGTACCCAAAAGTGGGTTGCAGAGTTATTTTATGTTGGCGTCGAATGTGTGTCAAGGGCCCCAACAGACTCCACAATCCCTGCTGCAGCATGCTGATGTTAGTGTTATTATTCTAAAAGTGCAAAGATCTGTGTGTGTGTGTGTGTGTGTGTGTGTGTGTGTGTGTGTGCGGTTCTGAAAATTTATTTTTCTTTCAGCAATTTTAGACTCCTTCCATGACTCCCACTTCTCTTTTGTTTTGGCTCCAGTTTATGTTTGTCTATCATTCTGATGGGTGGTGGGTCACAAGCTGTCCCTGCACACATTGGTTAGTGGCTATGTTCTTCTACTACCTTTAAGAAACCCAAGGCCCACTTTTTTGGTACCACAAGTGCGATGTTTTTTCAGTTCTCCATCTCGTATAACCTGTTAGTCATATTTTGTTGTCTGTGGGAAATGTAACATTCACATGATCCTCTAGGTCGAGTGTAATTGAATATTTCTTGAGAGAGCTTCCCACGACCAAAGTGAAATAACGAGAATTAGGAACTCGTGATGTTTTAGCTTTCCAATAAAGAGATTTACAACATTTTGACAAAGTCGACTTTTGTGCCCTTTTTCCACTTTTCAAGCTACGGCTGTTTAATTCCATTTCATAAGCTTTACATGCGGTGTGTCCGCTGGTCTGACACAACAGATATGAGTAAGTAGCTAACAATTTCATGAAGTAGCTGAAATCTGTGTGCAGTTATTTACAATGACACCTGCTTTGAACGCCAATAGATGGCTAGCTGAGATATTTTGGATGCAAAATTGAAATCATGCAGCATTCTGGCCTCATCCTGTCACCATTTAAGGGAACCTTTTGGGAAAATAAAGAGCAGATGTATCTGAGATGAATGGGTTTGGATCTGTCAGAGCTTTAAATCAGTGATTCCCTTTATCTCTGTTTATTTTCACAAGTGCATCATCTTAAACTGAGCTGTATATTTAGTACCATTCTTAAAGCCAACTTTTAAGCTAGATAACCCCCCCGCCCCCATATTTTACCTTGACAACTCCCAAGAAGACGTTTTGTGTAGCAGCGATGAGCTCCTCCCTGTGCTCGGTTAAACCGGGCTGGATGCTGAGTTTCTGGGCTGCTAGGAGCACGTGTTGTCCTGAGACGGTGACCGACTCCAAGAGGGACGATGTCTCCATGAGCAGAACTTCATCCTTCGTCTCACTTGTATGTCTGGAAGTACAGAGCGTAGTGTTCATCCCATTATTCATTTCACATCAGTATATTGTTAGAGGTTGGAAAGTGACTTTTGATACTTGAAGCGCAAAGTGCTCATGTCACACCCAGGGGAGATTCTAGGGTCTGTTAGGGCCCTAGGCAAAACTTAATTGGGGGCCCCTCCAATCAGAGTTCCCCCATACGGATAACTCCTCTTCAGGTTCCTTCATTTAAAAATGTTGGTTTTCACAGGAATGGCGCTTGAGGGTGAGTGCTGTCAGATGATGCCTCCTTAAGCAGGTTTCCTACGCTCGTTGCAAATTTGCACATTTTGAGGCAATGCTGTGGTTTAAAGTTTGTCAGCCATTGGGGGTCCCCTACTGGCCTGGGGCCCCAAGCAGTTGGCTGCATTGCCTGTTGACAAGCAGCACCTCTGGTCACACCTAACCATTCACACACTGATGGCAGAGATTCCTGGTAAAGTGACCATCAAGTTACTAATCCCTTTCATACACATTCATATGCCGCTGACAAAGAGGAGGAGTTAAGTGTCTTGCCCAAGACCACATCGGACATGTAGCTGCAGGAGCTGGGGATTGAACCCCCGACCTTCTGATTGACAGACGACCGACTCCACCAACTGAGTCGCAGCCGCCTCAACAAACATATATATGCACTAATTAATAGAGCTATGAGATCCTTCTTGGGAGTCCATACATTTCCATCAGTCCTGGCTGGATTTCAATGTGTTACACCTGCACCCGGTTTCCCCTGATTCTTGTGACCTTTACCTAAATGCCCACATTCGACATACCTGGAGGTCACTGCTGCCATGTTCTCCGTAGCTTTAGCCACAGCCTGCGCCGCCCCCTCCAGCTGGCTGAAGTGTTCAGCGTCCTCTGCGCTGTCACACAGCAGCACCAGGTAGCAGAGGTGACTCGCGATCGGTGCAATGACCCGCTCGACTGCTGCAGTCCTGATCAGCCCATGATCCAGAAAAGAAGACATGGTAAACAGATTGAGTCAAGAGACGGAGAGCAGCTCCGTTATGATGTAGTGTATACCTGCTGTACCCGGTGAGGCAGGTGCATTAATAATTCACCGGACTCCAGGAGCAGGTGCTTGACTTCAGTGTTTCATAGCAACTGAGGTCAACTTACCAAACACACGGATCCTTACCAGTTTTATCAAATTATTAGCTTACTTTTTTTCTGAACATTTGATTAATTATGCCATCATTCATTCAGTATCACCACCAGGGTTTCCTTAAGAGTTTATCAGGTAGGAGTGGTGGCCTGGAAGTTGAGTTTCTTTTATTGAGTAGGATTTTGTGTTGGTGTTTAATTTTTCATTTCTTTAGTTGTGTTTTAAAAGAAGCTTGTTTTCACTTCAATTGTGTATCCACTTTAACATTTTAACAAATAATTTTTCCTCATTCCTGATTTTCAATTTGTTTTGTTACTCCCCTCATCCCTTAGCCATTTCAGGGAAAGTAAAAACTCTGTACAAATTTAGGAGAATGATAAAAAAATTAAATAAATCCCCAATTTGATCTGGTTTTGTAAAGCAGCGTGCAAACCTGCTTCATGGCCTGCACACATACGAGCATTAGTCTGTCTTTCTTGGACACATGTTGAAGTTAATCTTTGTTTTTTGTGTCTTGCTGCTTTTTCTCCTTATTTTTAAATCCACAAAAAATATTTTGACACTAAATGCATCGGGGCCTCTAACTGAGAGCTGCCTTTATTTGTCAAAATGTGCAGCAAGTTTTCCGGTATTTATTTGTATCGTTACTGCTGGTTGCAACTGAATCATACTTATTGGATAATAACTGCTCCAAAAAAATATGGTAAGAACGTTGGAGTCCAAAATATGCACCCTAAGTTTTTGTCTCAAGTATTCACACCGAGCAGCCAGCAGAGTGCGCCACACACCACCTGAAAAATGTGCAGCTTGATCCAAAGTCAACATGGACTTGATTGAAGATCTTGAGACGTTTCACCTCTCCTCCTCCAAAAGGCTTCTTCAGGTCTAAACTATCTGGTGGACGGAGCTAGAAAAATGATCAAAGATGACTCATATCAGAGTCGTTAGCACAGGAGGGGCTGCTCTTCAGGACAGGTTTCTGGAGGACAAAGGACACTCTTTAGAGGATGACATAGTGCACATCCTGGCCAGGGAAGACCATTGTTTTGAAAGGGGTTTTAAAGAAGCCGTCTATATGGTGGAAAACCCATCTCTCTTGAGACACCATCTTTCGCCAGCCTTCAATTATGTTTTGAATTCTCTCCCAAAACAACTGAAGGCCACAAGAACATGTGACCCAAATGACCCACAGAAGACTGGGGGTGGTAACGATGCAGCTAGCGACTCTGATGTGAGTCATCCTTGATCATTTTTCAAGCTCCGTCCAGCAGAAAGTTTAGACCTGAAGAAGCCTGAGGTGAAACGTCTTCAGGATCTTTGAACCAGTCCAGGTGCCTTTGGATCCAGCTTCAGATTTACTATGACCTTGGACGACTGAGAACCCACACAGACACCACACACCACCAAAAAAAAAATTCAACGAAAAACAACCACATCGAACAAAAAAAGCAGACAGAGCCGAGAAAAATTCAATCTAAAATTTATCAACAGATAAATATTCAGCTCCAACATGACTTTAAACATCAAACATACAGCACTCTATACTGGAAATGATACTCAGTGACAGTAGTATACTCGGAACAAAAACCCCAAATAACGGTGTGATTAACAAAAAACATACAAACAAAAATATAACCATCACAGTTAGAATTTAACCCAAAAAAAAAAAAGTCAAGTGTCGATTTCTCTGCAGTGTGGCTTTGTGCAGAGGGAAGACGTGAATGTGTACAGTATAGGCCGTCATGCCAGTGGAAGTAAATGTTAAAATAAAAAGATTCATACAGCACGACAGATAGAAAAGCAACCAGAGAGAGCCATAAAGTGTCTTTGCACTGAAGTTTAAAGGAAAGTGTGAAACATTCAAATACATTTTTTTTGTCCGTTTGGAATTGCACGTTAAAATATCTGATTCTGGTTTTCTGCAAAACTGCCCGAAGTCTCCAGACCTCAGAGTTACATCTTTGTTTTGATGCTGTGATTATCAGGCGAGGGTCATCTAACAAACATTAAACATCACTTTTAGAGCCTGGCTTTTAAGTTTAAGAGATAAAATCTGTTAAAAAAAACATCATACTTTTATATATTTGGATATTTCAGATGAAATTAATCGTCTGTTTTCTGCAAAATTCTCCAACAATCCGGCCCAGCTTTGAAGGGTCTCAAGAACAAGCCGAGTTAAAGCTGTGAACTTTAATAGTGGCACATTTTCACGGCGCTGACATTCCTCCATGTTGACTTAAAATAAGCTTTTCCCAGGAGCCCCAAAGAGCTCGTTTATGTGTAGTGATTGAGTGCAGCACATTCCCGACTATTTTTAGGGCATTACTCATTCCACGGGCCCCCGTAAAATGACTTGAAGGTGGACTCCCATCGCTGACGCTCATCTGGCCGTGGAGAGTAACGTACAGTATATCACGTTTCATGCAGAAAAACCCAATGCCTAATAACATCGTAGTAAAACTAAATATGGGCCGCGAAGGTGAAGTCTGGTAAGTTTCTTGGGAGTAAATCATGATCAGGTGTCATGTCAGATTGAACACTGGATCATTCCCTACAGTATTTTTAGGGAGATTCAAATGTTTTTAAGCTGACGTTTGAAACTGTAAGGGGCCTTTAAAAAAAAAAAAACGTCAGCAGCATACCTGAGCATTAGCTCTTTGCACAACAGCCTCAGATCATTTGCTTCAATTTCAAAGCATCTGTAGATCCAAAGCAAGGCAGAGAGGAAAAAAAATACAAAAATGGAAATCTAGCAAAATCTTAAAAATGTAGAAGTCAGATCATGAAAAAAAGGTATGATAAGTATTTGTGCCACATTAAAGCTACCATAAGAGTTTTTACTCCTACTTTGACTTTGGCGCTCGCTGTGGAAACATAAAGATTGACTAGAGTGGCGGCAAACGATGGCATAGTGCGCAGCAACTGATGGACTGTGTGCATGGAGTATGTGCAAATTGGGGGTAACGCTTTCATAGAATCTTGTGTGATCAAACGTGATTTCAGAAGAAAATCAAATAAGGACGATGGATGTTGTCAGCTCTCCCGCTGTGTGTTCTGTTCTGCAGCTTATAACAGGAAATGAGGAAAACAGTACGGATGAAATCTGTGCTGAGAAGACGGATCACGTGCAGCTTTATTTACTTTCAGACCGCGAGTGAGGGGTGAGATGTCAGAGAATGCAAGAATCCGGTTGGTGACGCTTCCAAGTCTGCTCGCTCTCATTGGCTGCATCGGGTATTTTCGGTCGGAGGCGGACTCCAACTTGGATTCACAAATATTTCATTTTCATTTTCATTTTCATTTTCATTTTCATTTTCATTTTCATTTTCATTTTCATTTTCATTTTCATTTTTAGTGACACCACACACTTCTTTGGACAAAATATCAGGAACAACAACCCTAGAATCTGGCCACGCCCCCCTGATTGATATGGGGGAATATGGGGGGGATATGGTGCAAATCAGGCCTTTAAATCGTCTGGTGAGTAAATGCTCATAACGAGTCATAGACCTTAACTTTTGAATTCTGGTTTTTGCAGTGGAAACCCGTTCAGAAAAGAGCATTCACTTGGACTTCTGCATGACTGACACAGCTTTGACACGATCAGATGACACAGGTTTTAATCCTGCATATGTACGTCTAAAAGTCGGCTGATTATCTGTGAGAGAGCAGGCGGTCAGATGTGTTTTAAAGATCTCCATTAGCCGGACATAGTAAAGAAAAGATACAATCTTTCACTCCCAGGAAGAGCTGAATATACAAACGACTCCATCCTTTACTATACAGGACATATCTTTGGCATTAAAAGTGAAGCTATGGAGCCAAGGCATTCATTCTTTATCAAACATCAGTGCTTTTTAGGAAAACATACCGTCCACATGCAGTATGTTTATAATGGCCTTCAAATCCCCCAACTCTTCTCTGAGCCCAGTTTTACACTATATGGCTTATGTATAAAAATAAATTTGCTATGTAACACAGCCCTGAGGGTTTTGTTGTCCACCAGTATTCATGGCGTCCCCACATCCCCCGTACGGGATGTAGGTTTCCATCAACAGCTCTGCTCTGCTGGCCCGGGAGTTCCCTCCGTTGAGATTAGCTGAATTCCACAGCAAAGTGTCCTCTGGCAAAGCCGCGCTGTCACCTCAGAGGCCTGTTTCCTGGACCCCCACCCACAAAAAAAATACAAAAAAATACATCAAGTCTCCAAAAAATATGGAGGAAATTCTCCTCTTCCACATATGGAAGACTGAAGGTGCCACTGTGGGCGGCGGCTGGGATGCGAGACCACGTGCTATTGGATCCTTCCCCCTGACCCAATCCCTAATCTCATTGGCTCCTCTGGGACCCCCACGGTGCAGGTTCTCAGTGGTTCTTTTCCATCCAGTCCCAGCTTTCCTCGCTGTCCTTCCTGTTCTTCTCGGCCTCGATGATCTCTCTGTAGCGCCGGCGGAAGAATCCCATCTGTCCGAGACGGAGAGGGACAAAAGAAGAAGAAGAAGAAGAAGAAGAAGAAGAAGAAGAAGTAGTTAGTTGAATGAATCTGCCGTCCGATCGGACTCCAGGAGGGACAAGCTTGGGGTTTTCAAATGTTTTAAACTTATTTAACATTCCTGCAGACTATTTACATAAAGCATATCGTAACTTTGAGGTGTTTCATATCCGACTAACAGGTAGAGCAGAGCTGGCTCATGTTATCGTCTAACAGCTTTTCACACATGGATCGTATCAGCGGGACAAACACAGGAACACTTCCAGATACTTCTTCACTTTTGTAGAGAGATTTAGATTTAAAAACACTCCAACATGTGTAGGCTGAATATGAAGCTGCAGCTCATAGCCAGTTAGTCGGCTATATTTCAACTGGAGATAATGAGTTATATTTGAAGGTGCTTTCAGGTGCCGTTGGGACAAAGCTAGACTAGATGTTTTTTGTCTTTTTGCCAATCCAAGCTCACCTGCTGCAGGCTGTAACTTTATATTTACCGTCCAGATAATGCGCAGTATTACATTTCTCACTCTTACAACAAACAAAAAAATACTTTGAAAATGATTTTTTTTTTTTCTGAAAATGTAAATCATTTTCTTCAAGCAGCAAAAACTATTACTGCATGAATCCATAAGTAACTAGTGCAAAAATGCTGGTGTTAATATGCTGATAATTAAAAAATAATAATAACGTACACTAGCAACTCAAAGGAAAACCTTAATCTAATATAAGTTTGTGTTTTTCAAATGTCTAATTGCGCTGGACTGGACTTGTTTTCTTGCTTTCTGCCTCGGTGTACATTCTGAATAGTTGCTTGTTTTATTGTTTAAAATATTATCTATACTACTGTGAAGCAGTACGATACGGTAAGGTGCAGTACGGCTTGGCACTGTGCGACACAAAACTATACAATACTGTATTGTTCACTTGATTGTCCTGTGCAGGGAATATCAGAAAGGTTCTGTTTTCACTCAAATAAGATGAGATGTAAAAAACCCTACATGTGTTAGGACACACTACAAAGAGTGCAGCTAAATGTGTGCAGCACTCGAGTCGCAGACAAACTCCTCTGAGGGTACAAAAACCGTATTGTATCATATTGCATAGCATGGCATAGCTTAGCATCATATTGCATGGGATTGTATGGTGTCATATAGCAGCCCCCTCACTCATGTCTCTATTACTGCATGTCCACAGGATCCTGTTTGTGCATGTGTGTGTATTTCAACCTGTGTATGTGGGTAACATGTTCAACAACAGAGTGTGAAATTGAATTTCCCCTCGCACTTATCACATACTGCATCGCCTCCTATAATATTGTATCACCATAACTCATATCATCACAGATTGTCCTGCACAGAGAATATCTTGAGGATCTGTAAAAATTTAAAAAAGCCCAAACATTATGAGCAAAGAGAAGAAAGTTCAGGTAAAAAATGATCAACACACTTCTAAATGATCTCCCATTTCTTCTAGATTTTGTCAACACAGATTGTTTCTGCAATTCTGACTCTCAGGAGCGTCATTGAATGCACCACATGAAAGAGAGTATCCGTTCAGTTAGCTTCATCATTACAATAATATATATAACATGAAACAACTCAAACACTGAGTTCACTGTATGATAGATTAAAAACACCAGCAGGTTGATGTTTCTCCAGCAGTGAAATAAATGATAATGGAGGTCTGGGAGTCAGGAAATCAATTGACATGACGGCGTGGTATGCTTTGAAAAATGGCCGACGGAAATGTTAAACACACACAATTTAAGTCAAACCGCAGGAAACCACCGGCAGAGATGGAAAGCAAGTCGAGGCATCTCTCCCTGCAGCAAACGAGTTGTTTCTTTAGGAAGGTAATCTGTGAGATATAACATTTCAAGTTTGATATGAAGGAGATATGACAGACGGGAGGGAGCGGGAGACTCTCGGTGTGAATCTAAACAAAAGCCGCCTCGCTGGGACGATGCCTCGCTCACTACGACTTCATTCATTCATCCCAAGTTTGAATCTGAAGTTTATTGATACAGACCTGTTCTCTCCTCAGGCATTTCCTGAAAGGAGCAATACAGGACATGTGCTGCTCTTGTAAGAGGGGTTTATTTTGGCAAGGTCCGAAGACATGGGGGGGCGGTGGAGGGGGCGGGGGGAGGTATTTCAGGACCGACATTCTTTGGTTTTGTTGTGGTACTCCCCGATGTAAAATGAGGGAATAAAAGAAGGGGGAAGAAAGGAGTTTAGGTCTAACAGTCTGGACATCGGTGTGATTGTCGTTTCCTTTTAAGATTCTTCTTTCATGTGAGTGAGGATGTGAATTATTGACCAGCCTGTGGTTTGTCTTTTTCATGGTTGTTGGGGGGTCACTATCGAGCTCCCACCCCTCAAATCCTCGTTTAAGACCAGCTGTTTCTGTCCTACCAGATACACTCCTGTCATGTTTGCAGGATTAGACACAGTACAAATACTTTGTTACTGTAATTCAACAGAGTGTAAAATAACTGAACTTCACTTTACTGTTTCTTTTTTTGATAATTTGTTACTTTCACCGCAACATTTGAACAAAAATATCTCTAATTCAATTTTCAAAACAGGCTTTAGCTTTAATGCTGTTTATTGCTGGCATTAAAGGCTTTATATGCACCATATGCTGAGCACCAGCATGAAACCAAAACAACTCGCGCTGCATTGTTGTGTTAGCATGCTAATGCTAGCGATCTTTATTATGCTGGTATCTTCACACTGCATGTAAATTTACCTGAAATGAGCGTGATCTAGAAACACAGTTAAGCAGTGAGTACAGTATGTTATTCTTCTTTTCTCTAGTCCCTCAATTAAACAACTTTTATACACGAGGGGAGGAGTCAGCCGGCCGTCCCGGCGATGTAAACAAACTGAAGATAGGACTCTGAAAACTCTGAAAACATCACAGACAGTGGGACTCGGGTGTTACACCCATTGTAGACAGTCATGACTCACAGAGTTATTTTCAGAGGATAGACTTGATTTATATTACATTTAAGTGTGAACAATCACATATAAAGACTTTAATAGTAATAAAGTAGTCATGTGTCTTCAGTGATTTCCAACTTGCTCCACCATACCTGTTCACCACAGACTCAGGTCAGCACTGTGATGCTTTCAGTTTCTCCCAAACCTAAACTTCCATTTATATTTCATTCTTTCATTATTGAAAGACAAAGCTCAGTTTTTTATCCGCTCCAGGAGTTAAACGCTCTTGTTGTTTGTTTCTTTGACTGTGGCTGTCCGTGCGCTGGTAGGAAGTCGGCAGCTCTCAGAAACCGAGGTAAGTCGTATACATGCTGCAGTATCCTGTTTTCTTTCAGAGTTCTCCAAGTAGCAAAATTGGGTTTCTAAAAGTCATTTTTTGGATGGTTTTTGGATATCAGGATTTGATGTTTACATGAATAATCACAAAAATGGGACCCTTAAAAAAACCTGATAGAACCCAGGAACTATATCCTTGGCTCTTGCAAGACTGCCTTAAGATAGCGCTGTTGGCTTCTCTTTTTTTTTACGCTGACTGGAATCAGTACCTTTTCCTTTACACACACATGTATCTGTTCTTTATGTGAGGAGAAAATGTTTGTGCTGTTGCCATTTCTGACTGCCTTTTGTTAACCTTAGTAACTTCAGTTAAGTATTCATAAAAAAGGCAAGCCTTTTCAGTTTTGCTGAAAATCAGAGTGTGTGTTCATGAGGTTTACCTTCCAGAGCAGCACAGCCAACAGCAGAAAGATGAGGATTCCCACTAGCAGACTGATGGCAATGATCCAGCCGACGACGTAACCCCTCGGCTCTTGACTGTGGAGCGCCTCGAAAACCAGCTGAAACACAACAACACTTAAGTCAGTCGGTGAGTCATGCTCAAACACAACTCACACAAACACACACACACACACGAGAGATCATTAAGTCATGTTCTGCTCAACACTGATGCAATGTAGTGCAAGAAGAACAACCGGGACACATCTGACTTCAGTCTGCTTTAGCTGTTCTCTGATTTGAAGACACAGCATGACACCGACGATGTTAGGAAACTTATTTTGCAAAGAAAAACATAAAACTCCTACAAAAGAACAAAAAAATCAGTCAAAGTTGAAGCAGGTTCAAATTCATTTTTGCAAACACTGCGATGTGTTAAGCAACGTCCCCTGAAACACTGTAGAGAAAGTCGATACCCGTCAGGTCATGGTGGTCACAGTGACCTTTGACCCACATGCTGCAGCCAGCACCCACAACTCTCAGCGGAATACGTAAAGTGTACACAAGTTTATTGTGTTTCACTCACATAAATTTCAGGAAGTTCAATCTCTCTCAGATTATAAGGGTGAAAACGTGCTGAAGTGTTAGAGACATATTTCTCACGCACATCAATCAATCAAACTTTATTTATATAGCACCTTTCAGACAAATGAAAGTGCTTTACAAGAGTGCAGAAAAGTAGTTTATGAAATCATTGCAGATACTAATGCACACCAATAAGAATAAAAAAAATACATATAAAAATGAAAAAATAAAATACGACACATAAAAGCAATAAGATATTAAAATTAATACATAGGAGAAGAATATTTAAAATTGTAGTCGAATTAAAAAGACAATGCAATAATGTTAAGATTTGAATTTATATAAAGCACTTCATAAAAACCAGAGTGAATAAATGAGTTTTAAGACTGCGTTTAAAAAAACATGGGCCTGAATTACACAAATGCACAAACAGGACCTGTGGACATGCATCCAGAACAGGTGGACAGGTTCATTCCCTGGCTCAGCCGCACGCTGGCAGTACTCTGGAAGAGACCTGGCACCTCTCCATCTAGCAGACCAACTCCCAAACTTTTTGGTCTTGCACCACGACTTGAACCGCCGACCCTCTGGTTCCCAACTCAAGTCCCTACAGACTGAGCTGCTGCCCCTCCCAAGATACAGATCATACATCATCTACTCCCTTTTTTGAATTCAGAGCCTGGTGCCTTTAAATGGATTCCTTGAAGCCCCAGAATGAGGCCGACTCTCACAGTTATCTGGTTCAGCATGGGAGGCTTGGCATCTTTAAAAAAAAAAAAAAAAAAAAAAAAAAAAGCCTTGCTCCACAATAAATAATAAGTTCTGTTTGGGATGTTTTCCCATGACCAGAGTGAACACTGACCAGCTGGATAATCTGTCACTGACGGCATAGCTCAGTCCCCTAAACGCAACGCACACATGGAGGAACGCATGTGGTGGTGAACGCTGTATTTATTGTTATTAAGTAAACACCATTGTTGTTAATCACTTCTCGCTGTCCTGCTTTGATTTTCTTACAATTACCATCACTTGATTTTGTTCAACTCTGCTCGTCTGGAGACATTTGATACTTCTGTACACGACTCATTTCCAACACAATGACTTTGATTGCTTTAAGGAATCCGCACTGAGTTTACAGCTCTCTGACTGAGGTGAAAAAATGCACAAAAATGAATGAATAAATGAATAAATCTTGCAGACAGAGCGGAGACTTTTGCTCTCAAACTTCTCTCGCCAGTTTGCAGAATGTTTGCACACAAACAACAATTAAAAAATTTGGTTTCAGCATCGAGGCCTTAAATGGAGAACAATGAAGTCGTTAGGTTTATTAAATAGACCGTTTTATTTACTAATGATCCTAAACAAAGCCAAATGTTGCGCTCTCTCCCAAAGGTCAGATATTCTGTTTCCACAAACAATGGTGGGACGCTTTCTAAACTTCTCTGCTGAAGACAAACGTGGCATGAGACGCCAACTGTGAGCCCGAGACAAAAGCAAGCTGAATTCTCTCTGTCGAATAGTTTCCCACATTAACACCCCCGACCCCCCACACACACACACACACACACACACACACACACACACGTCGAGCTCTGGAATCTGACCGTTGTTCTGGCATGCCGAGGGGATGGCGTGCACAGAGAAGATGAAAGCTCTGCTGGTCGTCGCTCTCTCTCTCTCTCTCTCTCTCTCTCTCTCTCTCTCTCTCTGTCTCTCTCTCTGTCTCTCTCTCTCTCTCTCTCTGACTTTTGGTTTCCCATTTTAACTTGTGCAATCAGTGAAAATCTGGGAATGTGTGGTGGAATGTGGAAACCCTTTCTGTGATGAAATGTCATCTGTACTTTCAACAGAAGCTCACAGATTCAGGTCACATAGTTTCATCAATCATCGGAGATTGGTTTGGTGCAGCATGGACATGAAAACGACAAAAAAGCAAAATACAAGGGGTTGAATAGGATATGTTACCTTCAATAAATAACATACCATAACCGATCTAGAGGCCTCTTTTATCCTCTTTGACTGTCAGGCTTCTACCTGACCATAGAGATCTACAGAGACAGCCCACAAGTAAAATTTCCCAATTCAAATCTTCCATTGACATTTCAGAAAATCCTAATATCAGAACTTTGAATCCTGGAACCAAACACCCAGCTCCCCCAAATACTCGAGACGATGAAACATTTGATTTGAGCAGAAAGTTACGATTGAAAAATAGAGAAAAAAAACAGTGGTGCAAAGCTGTGTACATAATATTTATATATATATATGTATATATAAATACTACACATCCCACAATCCACTGAGATTCCAACGAGATCCAACAAATGGATAGTTGAGTCCTTTTATTAAAACGTACACATATCTTCTTTCTACATTTAGCTTTATTAAAGTGTGTTGAACTTCCATGAACTTTAACGGTAACAGTTGGCTCCACCAATCAGAGACGTCACTGTGACACTCTGGGATTCTGGGTCGTGTAGTTCTTTTCCCAGAGATCGTGAATAAACAGTTTTTTATAAAATGAGGTGGATATCAAACACACTTGTGTCTTCTACAGGAGCATGAAGCAGTCTAGGTCTACCTGATGTTTATGACTTTATGGCTAATTATCAAATCCACCGTGGAGAAAATGAACAGGACTTTTACTTCTAGAGCCACAACGTTCAGCGTTTATCTGGCTGCTATACTGGACCTTTCCAGGCCTACAAATTCGGGCCAGAATCAGATTCAGAACCTGTTGACACTGACCTCCTCATCTTTAGGGATTTTGAATAAACAGATAGAGCTTTTATTTTTCCTTCACGTTATGGCATTCAGGGGACATGCACTTGAAAGCATAGCTTCATGTCACAGGGGATTAAAAGTGAGTTAGACTTGCTGCGAGCAATTCAACGAGGAACCACAAATTAAATACAGTGTGTACTCGAGCCTGAGGGATCCTGAGGGAAAAGGTAACTCTGTTTACTAAAACTGAGAGGGGGGGTATAATCTCTGGAATGAGCCCCCTCGCTAAGTGCTGAAAGAGCGGCATGGTATGGACATTTTCATGGCGGGGGCTGAATTTTCCGAGCTCGTCTGGAGCTCAGGGTCAGCGGGGCTGCAGGCCCGGTCAGCACCCTAATCACTTCAGAGATCCCACAGCGAGCGTGCTGAGCGCTCCATATAATCATCACATCTGATCTGCTGGGCCGTTTCAATCACTCAGTGAACAGCAGAGGGGGGGGAGGGTGTGTCCTTGAGCACAGCTGAGGACCCCCCGAAAAGAGGCCAACAGAAGTGCCACCGACGTACAGTATACCCACAATCCCCAGCTGTTCTCTGGACTCACGTCAGCGACTTCAAGAAGTCTAACCACAGCATGCTGCATCCAAAGATTAAATATAAGTGCTTATTAATAAATGTGTTTCCAGCAGAATCATGTAGGAGCAACCTACATGAACCTGCGCCCTGCCTCAGTGCCTGTGAGCAGGACATAGCAGCTTCATCAGCAACATCAACATGTCTACAGTTTAGCTCACAGATTTGTCAGTTTTGTATTTGTCAAATTAGCTTGTGAATTTTCTACTTTTGACCATTACTACTGTTTCTACTTTTAAAACCTATCTGTTCTCGAAAGCATATGAATACTCTTTTTTATTTGTATGTGTGTGTGTATGTATGATCATTTTTGTGGTAACTGATGTTTGCTTTGTCGTGTGAATGAATTATTAATGACTGTGGAAACACTTTCTTTCTTTTGTATGCTGTTTTTTTATTCTGTTTTTAACCTCAATGTAAAACACATTGAGCTTATCTGTCATAAAATGTGCTATATAAATACAATCGCTATTGCTATTGGTTGGTTTTGCAATTGAGCCTGCACATGTTGCAGTTTCACATTTGAAAGTTTGACTACCAAATGTTGCGACTTAGCTTCCAAACTTAGCCTGTAAACCTGTAGCCTGTAAACTTTGAACTCTTAAATTTAGCAAGAATGTGGAAATATTTGAGCTCAGACTGAGAGTGAAAGTCAGGGGGTCATTTCAGCCCAGCAACAAAAAAAAATTAATTTGTAGAAATGGGGGCAACAGAAGCTGAAGTGTACCGTTAATATAACCCTCCTCACCATTCACTAAAAATAGCAATGACACTGAACCGTGGCTGTAGCCTTAAGTTTGTTAATGGTCCAAAAGGGGCTAAACGCTAATAGAGCTACGTCTGGAAACTATAAAAGAAAAGGGTTCTTTGTGGGCCTTTCATTGTAAGTGATTGATTTCACTTAACACAAAGTCATCAAACCAACTTCACAAGAGAACCCATCACTGCTGGACATCACCTCTTTGTGATTTCCATGTAGTAATTTTGAGTACAGTATATCAACATCTTTGCACTATGTTGAAGAAAGCGTTGTTATAAAGGAACTATAAATAGTGTCTGATGTACTCACGGAAAGGTCGTCTGGGAGGCCGTTTGGCACCTCAACCGCTCGGTCGCTTACTTGCACGCTGCCCCTCGTCACAAACTGGATCACAGAGGAACTATCCTGTGTGGTGAGAAGTGGTCATGTTGTTATTAACCACAATGACCTGCAGCTTGATATATCAAACTTATGACTTGTTTCTTACCCTTTTAAGAATTTCAGTGTTGAGTAGAAGTTTTATGTCTATGCTTAAAGCTTCTTCTTTTAACTGTGGACCCAGACTGCAGGAGATGGTCATACACGCTCTTCCAGGACGGTCACAATCCTTTAAAAAAGAAATAAGGGGCGAAAAGAGCGGGAGAAAGTGTGTGGGACAGAGAGAGATGTGTGATAAACAGATGTTACACTGACTGAAAAAAAGAAATGCCAAGAAAAACAAGAACCCTCTCAGGGGGGCGACTGTCAGTGACCTCTGAAGTGTCAAAGTGCAACATGAGGGCCGCATATTTACCAAGACTTTTCGTCCCGATTTGGTGAAGAAGGCGAATATGGAGTGGAAGATGCTGTCTCTGTCCTGGGGGATGGTGCACGGTGTCGGGTTCCTGTGAGGGGTGCAGTTCCCTCGGCCGTCGGCCACCTAAAACAGGACGGAGGAAAAGAATAACTGAGTTATTATGACTAAGATGTGAGATAAAATCATATCCAATGGACATACACAAAATCACAAGTACAACGAAGTTAAAGTGAAATTAAAAATATGGCTCGGAGAAGCAGCTTTGCCAGGTTTAAGTTGCTCAGATTGATTGATATCTTTATTATGAACGGGCAAACATAAGAAGAGTTCTCAAGCAGATAGATGACAGTACTTTGAGTCCAGAGTCAAGAATCTCTTTAGGTAAACTTTCCTTTGTGTCCCATTACACTTTTGAAAAAAGACGGAGCTGATTCGTTCTTCTGTTTTGAAATCTAGCAGATCGATTTTGTGTGAAATAAAAAAAATAGGGACCTATTATAGATACCTGAGGAACTCCGTAACTAATCAAGGCAGGTTGATTTATGTCCCCCTAATGTCTGTATAAAGATTCTGCATTTAAAAAAAGCTGAATAGGAAGTGAACAGTAATGTTCACTTTGGTCTTCTGGAGGTAGTTCTTCACCGCATAGGACGGGATGTTGGCATCGTTAGCGTTCAGTTTCTCTTTCTAATCTGAGGTATTGTTTCAGAGAGTTCTTACTGTACGCAGGAAAACATTCATTATGCCAGTATTATCCTGAAACCCATCGGCAGTCTTCTAACACTGATTGAGCTTTAAGTGATGTCCTCTAACAGAGATTTCAAAGATGTGACATTCAGCTCCCGACTCAGACTCCATTCTCTCTCTCAAGTTGCCCGTCCGACTGTAAACAATGGCAACGCATGGAAAAGGAAAGTCTTGTCAGGGAGTCGCTTATCACCAACTGCTGGCTTCACTAGAGAACCTGAAAAATTAGCAATCACTCCCAGAGCTCCTGACAAAATGTTGTTTCTTAAATAGGTCCATCGTATTGGTACCCTGCTGTGTTTAATGGTGTCTTTGTTTCTTTAGATCTATAAATACTAACTGCATCTTTTCTCGTATTTTAACAAGATAAATGTGGGATTTGGCAGCTGGAATGTACTCATAAGCACTTTCCTCACCTAAACTGGCCCCTTCCCACTATTGTTGTGAGTCACAGGATGTTCTTCCAAACAGAAACCTGGTTCCCCCTCCCACGCAGATTTCCCATATGGAGTGATTTAAAGGTGTCTGTTTTATTGCCCACCCCCCCTGGGGAACACTTCCCCCTTTCCCCTCTTCCCCCGGTCCGACCTGAAGCTCTGGAGGTGGAAATCTGCTCTGGTCCTTTTTTCCCTCATTGTCTGCTCGGTTTGCCACCCAGCATGTCTGAGCCCACATTTTCTCATGTCCTGCATTTCTGCTGCCAAAGCTGTTTTGAAGATAGATGTTCTGCGCTGACTTTAACCTGCTGTAATCCCTCGCCTTATTTTGGCAATAAAAGTTCAGGTTGAAAAACTGTAATATATGGAGCAACAGTCGGGAACATATATGTCACGTTGGGCGAATAGAGGTCTGTTTTAAATGTAAGAATATCTGGCTATAAAATATAAAGTGTGCAACTGTCCAGAGTGCCACGGGCTAGACGGAGAGTAGCAGCGTTTATAATGTGTGTTTCAGGATGGGGATGGGACGGGGGCAGTAGCCAAGCTCTACAGGTGTCCCATTCCCATTTCGTGCAAGCTGTCTGATCCCCTGGAAAGTGATTCCAGATGGGCTCAATGAGGGTGGGATACAGTCCGCCGCCCCCGTCTGCCCCATTCACAGAAAATACAATTAACAGGGCTGAGCTCCCCCACGACCCACCTATATGAAAAGGGGGCAATGCAAGGGTTAAGAAAACACCGAAGCCCCGGTGGGAGTATTATGTTTCGTTATCTAAATGCAAAATGTTGTGAAACAAAACGGTTGGCTAGCTTCAGTAGCAACGTCAACAGTTTCATTTCCATTCTCCACCGGCCCACTGGTGCCTCACAGTCAGCAAGCTGTCCACTCCACGAGGAGACCCCGGGGTTAGAAACTCTTTAAGACCGACTTTAAGCTATTATTCAACAAGTCTTTGCATGCCTCTGATTTGAATTTTACCTCCTAATTATTAACGCACTTGGCAAAGGTTCAGGGGGAATGAAATGTTGTGATATCTTCTAATAAATTGGTGATGCCGATCAAGAGTAGGGTGCAGGATTTTTGCTTTTCAGTGTTGTAATTTTATGATACACACCTCTTTCATGACTATTTCATTAACACCTCCTTTAAAAATGAATGAATGTGAGAATAACAACCTTAAAACTTCACATGGGGGCAGGATGGTCTTATATGTGAAAACAGTGAAATGTGACTCAGCAATAAGACGGCCCTTCTTCAGTCCTCATAACCAGTTTATTTTGATTTTATCGATTAGCTTTAGCCAACTAGCTATGTCAGTAACCAACTGGTAAAAAAAGGTGCTTCATTTGTGCAAAGAACAAAACATACGGCCTGCTGTGCTTGAACCCGAGCCGGTCTGCAGACACTTTCTGCTGACTTTGTACTGCTTGTGCTGCAGAACATTCACTGACTTAATCTCACAAACAACTTTCCTAATAGCTGCCTTCCGTTAAAAAAAAAACCTGCCTTGGTAAAGAGTTGGCAATGTCTGTAATTGTGGTCGTTTTTGCAGAAACTGTTCTCTGGCAGAATATTTGTGATTACCAAATCATCTATGGCAATGTACTCCTTTGGTTATTTTTATTTATTACGGACAGTAATAATGTTGCAACATTACATTTTGTAAAGTTTTTGTTTTTTTATTTTGTATTATTATATTTTTACTTCCCCCCACTTATTTTATGAACGTGTATATATGTGCATGTTTCTTTTTTTTTTCCTTAGAATTTATTTAATTGTAATTGTGTGTCTTGGAAAATCTTGAATGTTTGAAACTCAATAAACATATTGTTAAAAAAAAAAAAAAACCTGCCGATTTAAATCTGCGACTACCTGAAAACTTGACTGACCAGGACTCTTATAACCAAATATTTTAGTAGCTTATTGGGGGGGCGGCCCTGCTGTACAGAGAAGTGTCCTCTGGGGTGAATATGGGCCGCTGTGTGGAGACGTAGGGCAGACAGAAGGAGGCTGGATAAATGAGTTTAAAATGTGTCTGCCTGCAGGTGAATAAACTAATAAATAATGATTTGGCCTGGATAAATATAAATGAGCATAGACTGCTGTTGGCATCCACCTGTGTTTCAATGATGTGGAACATGTCGGCTCCGCTGCCAGCCAGACGGTTGGGTATCCTGATGTCCACGGTGGAGCCAGGCAGCCTGCTGGGCCCCTTGTTAATGGCCTGGAAGCAAATCACACCATTAGAAGGAACAAAATGTCACGTTAAAGAGAAACATGTATAACATACTGAAACCTGGTGTGTTTTTCTGTGCTAGACGTACCTGGAACGTGAGATTCAGAGGCTGGAAGTTGCACTCCATGTCGTCCAGCTGGACGAAGCGCGAGGCATCGATGGAGTTCCCGTACACGAAGGAGCTCGGAGTGACCACGCTGCAGATAAAAACAAAAAAACAAGCAGAACCAACGTTAGAAAACGCTGAGTACTATCATTCCTTGTACAGTTACTACCTTACATATAGACTTTGTATTGGCAGCATGGGGGGAGAGAAGAGAAAAGAAAAGGAAATGCTTGTTGTCAAATTGTTTTTTTGTATTTTCTTTTCTTTCTCTTTTTTCTTAAATAAAAAAAAAAGCATCAAAAAAGAAAAGGCTGAGTAAGCATTAATAGACCGGTCATGTTATTAGTTGGACAGGGAATTTTTTCAGATGTGACACAGATGTGTTCGGCTCAGAGGTGGAAAGTTATGAAGTACTAGGACCTGTTTTTTAACCTATTTCATGCTCTGTATTCAGACTGAGTTACGCTGCATTGTTCTTATGAAACCAAAAAGATATTCAATTCAAACAGAAAAAGAGGTGATTTTACAACACAGACCACAGGGAGAACTTGTTGCTCTTGCTTTTAGTGTTAGTGCTGCAAACACCTGGAATATTTTACTTTTATCTCTTATGGACACTTTAGAATATTATTTTAACTGCCCAATACCTGACTGTAACTGTTTTATTTGATTTTAATTACTGACTTATCACTGTAGTAATTTCAAGCTATTAAATTATTTCACTGTATATATTTTATTGTTCTTATTGCTCTTTTATTAATTTAATTTTTTTGGAGTAGCTTTATCTCATTTCTCATTGTTTATCATTTATGAATGTTTTCTCGCCCTCTCTGAGAACTTAAATAAAGGTTGATGATGATGTTGTCAATCCTTGTGTTTCTCCAGTGTCCCCCCCCTCCGTCCCTTCTGGTTCTTGTTGTCTCTCTCTGGGTGTGTGGCCATCCTCAGTTCTCCTCACCTGCTCTACCTCCTGACTGCTTCAGCCAGCTCACTTGTCATCAGCCTGCGGTGCATATACACCCCAGTTCTTCATCAGTCAACTTCTGTGGTCCTGTTTGTTTCCCTTTCTGCTCAGGATCATCATATCTGTCACCAACCGGCCTGCTTCAGCTCACCACACTGTGGATCATCAACCTGCCCACCTCCCATTCTTCCACTCAAAATAATCATCTGCAACTATCATTCGTTAACAGACTTCTTTACTTAACTTATTACACAGCTTTATACGCAAGGCTCAGCAAGACTCGAGCTTGACTAAGACTAAGAGAAACATTTACATTGATTTCTTCAGAGTCAAATGTGGCACATTCTTCCTCTGAACGTCTCCCACCTATGACACTAAAGTTTCATTAACTTTTAGCATCCAGCAGAATTATCTTTACAAAGAGTGACTCCTTTATGTTTAAACTATGGGTACTTTTCAGAGCCTTAACTTTTTCATCTCCAGAACATAAGTTTAATCAGTACTTCTGCTTTCACCAGTTTTTCCCCCTCAAATATCTGAAGTAAAGAATGTGTGTACTGTTGCCGCCTCTGGTCCAGTTTCTGCTCTCAAGCCTCCCTAAAATCTAAGACAGCAGCCGCAGCAGCGTTATCAGATGTCAGAGTTCTGGAGGATTTGGGCTGTTTTTCATCTCGCCCTCTTCTCCCTCTCTGTGTGAAGCAGCGCTGTGATAAAGCGTTCAGAGATAAGGCCTTTCAAGTCGACAAGCTCCATACTGACAAGAGCCCCCGCCCGCCCCCGCCGCTCCTCCATCACGGACCCCAACAGACAGGCAGCTGGTTCAAGTCAGCGTTTGAAGCCTGTTAACACAGGCAGCTTGAAGTTTGTGTAATATTAACTTTACTCTTGTGTTGTTGTTGTTCTCACCCAGTAATGGTCGTGTCGGTCTCATGCACCAGAGGGATGGAGAAATCCAAAGTGTTGTCGGAGAGTTTGTGCTCGGGATTGGCACTGAAAACGATAAAAGAAGTTTGAAAGTCAATTCAGGATTACATTCCACAAACACAGACGTTTGGCACATTTATGGAAGTGAATAATTTGACTGGTAAAACAGAATTAGACAAACCTTTTAGCTTGAACCAAGAACTGCAACGTCTCATTTTCCCCGGAGAGCTGACTGGTATCAAAGATGACAGCGAAGTGATACTAGAAAGAAACAGACAGAGTGTTCACTGACCGGATTCTCAACCATGAATCTGTTTGTTTTTTAAAATAATCAAAGGTCTTCTTCAGGTGATCGTTTCTAAAGAGAACTTCCAGAAGAAGACCTCAGGACAAAACATTCTGAAGGAAATAACAACTTTATTTTGAGCGACAAAAAAAAGACTAAAGTAACAGTGTCTGAAAAGGAGTAGGAGGAAGTAAAACTTATATATCCTCATCCTCACCCTCAAAGCCCTCCATAACCAGGCTCCTCCCCCCTACCTGTCTGAGCTGCTCCACCCATGCTCGAAGGTCTGCTGATGCAAACCTGGGGCCTTCTCATTTGCCGCTCCCACCCTCTGGAACTCACTTACTTCACCTAAAGACTCACCTCTTCATCATCGCCTACAACCACTAAAAATCTCAACTCTCATCCTCCTTCTCTTACATTATCTCTTTGCTGTATTTCTTTGTTGTGTTGTTATTCCTTGTTAAGCGTCTTTGAGTCCACATTGTTGTCATAACCCCCGCTCCCCGTCACAAAACATTTTTTGAACGTTGCCCTGAAAGTGAATTATTTCTTGCTTCAAACATGATTATTGCAGTTTTCATTTCCTGTGACCTCGTGTACTTTCCTGATCGCTCTCTTTTTGAAGTATGCATAATGGCTGTAAGTTGTGTTTGAATGTGATGAAATAAAAACCTTTTGTTGCGCCTGAGTGAGTGTGCAGGGCATATCTTCTCCCTCAGTCTGATGTTTTTGCAGCTACGTGATGTGCATATAACTACCCTCTTTCTCTTATTTTAATGTTGCCAACAAAAGCTAACATGCTGCAACGACCCAAAATAATTTACATGTGGTGATACAGGCTACAGATGCAAATTTAAAAACAAATGCTGAAGACAATATGAATAACAGAAATGTGCAGCAAATATAAAATCTAGGGATGAGCAAATTAGCTTAGGATATAAATGCTGTAGTGTGGGAACGGTTTACCTGCTAACGATAAACATGTAAATAAGAGAAGCGCAGCAAACGCCTGCAAGTGCATTATCAGCAAACACACTGCAAGTTAAAAAATGATGCAAAGTCAAAACAAACAAAATAAATGAACTGCATATACAGTCAGAGCAAAGGCTGTGCTTCAGGCCTGCAGGTCAAACTTTCAGCCTGTTTTGTTTGTGTCATTGCAGCACGTTTCCCCCCTGAAGACCACCTGAGTTTATCATCAGAGAAAGGTGTGTTTGGTATTGGAGAGCTTTTTTTTTTTACTGCATGCAGTTTTGACATGTTGCATTGAGTTCCATCTTGGTTTTCGAGCTACCTTAGTCTGAGCTCTCATGAAGGGAAATCCCACGCTGCATTTGAGGAAGTCCAAATCGACAAGTCCACAGGAAATGCCCTTCTCTTGCTGCAAAAAAAAGAGAGACAGATGGAGAGTGAGAGGAGGCCGATAAAGATGGAGACAGACTGGAGACAAAAGTGTGATAGGTGTGGAGACAAAGAGATGAGGACACAGTAGACAGGAAGCAGGGGAACAATCCAACCTGCAAACATTTACCCTGACATCAGAGTTTATTATCAGAAAGAGATTGCTTTGTGTAAAAGAATAGGTTCTTCTAGCATCTTATTGAAGTTGTAAATTAGATTAAAAAGAAGAAACGCAAGAAGCCGGGATGGCTCACACACACATCGTAGCGGGTGGGTAATTGGACAACCTCCAGTCTGTGTGTTTGGAAGCTTGTCTAAACATTACGGAGCTTCACCGGCTGCGCTGTGTAAACACTGCAGCCCTGACCCCGACGAGGAGTAAGAATGCTTTAAAGCGAGAGTTCACCGGGAGGCTGTCAGCTGAGCTTCTTCTTCTGCTGCATGGGAGCATGAAAGAGGGCAGAGCTGCTCCACTGTAAAGCTCCTGGGAGGGGGGCTTAATGTAAGTCATACAAAGCGTCAGCGTGCAGAGGCTGCAGCTCTGTGTTTACAACATGTTTCCAAAAAGAGATAAAGAAAAAGAGGTTGCCAAGGCTGACATATTTAAAAGGTGGTATCATGCACTTCTTCTATTCCCCCTTATTCAGCAGATTCCCCGGTGTAAGTCCAAGGGTGTGGCCCAGCCTTCAATCTTCATTCAGTCAGCTTTAAATAAGCAGCTCTGCCCTCTTCGCATGCAGACTGGAGTTAGCCTTGTAAAGAGGAGGTGGGGGACCCTGAGCAACAACTGGCAATGATGGAATTTCCTCTATTTCCTGTATTCCTCAGTGCTGCTGTGCAAACACCGCCTGTCCCCATGGGGCTGGGCAGGATTTGGGAAGTGGGCCTGTTTACCCATCATTCACCTGGCAGCCCCCCCTCCCCTCCTGACAGACAGCAGAGCGCTCAGACATCTGGGGTTAGAGAGATGGAACGACAAACGTCTGTTTCTGTCACTTCCTTTCTCCTGCTTACTTTCTCTTTCTGGATTGCAAACACACACACATGCTGGGCTTTCACAAATTGCAGGCCCATAAAAAAAAAAAATCACCAGGATTGTTTATGCTGCGTTAGCCTCGACAGGAGTCATACGTCACCAGTTGAGGACAAAACACAGAAGGCCCATTCTCCGCATTTTCTGCATGTCTACGATTCATTCAGCAGAAGCTTCTGTCTACAGCAACGTACATCTCTTTACGTTCTCCATCCACTTTGGTGTTTTTTAAATCCAGTCAGACTTTGGTGCACCCTTTTTTCCAAGCCGGTGTCATCACCCTCTCGTTTACTTTTCAACGCAGGTGTGAGCGCTTACCTCTCTACCTTTGGCTCTGCTGTGCACCGCTGCACTTCACAGCCAAGAAAAATCAGTGATTTGTGTTTTTTCTGGGTTTCACAACTTCACACATTTTTCAGATGCATTCCTGATTTCTGGGATTTAAAACCACAGCGCTCATTTGTTCCAAGAGTAAAAAAAAAACCCAAGAAAGCAGTTCAACACAGAATCCCTTCACTTCAGAAAAAGCAGTATTATGAGACTTTAGCAGTGCTTATATACAAATTAAGCCTTTTTCATTTTTGGTTGACTCCACAGATTTTGTTCCAAAAACGTGGGAAGAAAACAAACACTCTTCATTTGATATTGTGAATGTGTCAAAGTACACGAAGCAGTGACTCTGCTGCTTCGTCTGTCACTTCTGCATCGCTCTTTTGTTGTCATGTCTCGCCTCCTGAGTTCCCCCATGACAGGGGAAGTCTCCGGCTGTGAGGTGCATGTGTGAACAGGCTAGTGAGGAAGATTTCAGGGGCAGCCAGCCTAAAAGTTTTAGATATTTTCAGGAGTGCATGTGTGAAAACGGCTATAGAAATGTAACATTATGAACCTCTCCCACAGCTTTGGCCTTTAAAGAAAAACAACCTAAAACTTAGATATTTCAGAGTTTAAAATAAGAAAACACAGAAGCTGCTGCTGCAGTCTCAGAGTCCCAGAGGAGTGAAGACACCGCTCCTGATACTAAATCACCTCCACAGCTTCCTGACAGCTTGTGTTGCAGCAAGAACAACAGAACTGATAACACACCCCACACTGCACCGCGAGGGGAGTACAAGTTCACGCCTCACTCGCTCGCTCGCTGGAGAAAAAAAAAAAAGCCTGGAGGGAGAGGATTCAGAGCTGACCTTAACTCTCACTTCATCACGTCGGACTTCTCCAGTAGTAATTAGAAATGTTTCAAGGAGCCTCTTTGTCATCTCTTCATACTGCTCACTTCCTGCTCCCTTTGTGCAGCAGGCCACCCTGACTTATCAGGTTCCTCTGCAGCAGCTGGTAACCTGATCCATGCTTTAGTTCATTAGATTAGCTCCGAAACTCAAACTGAAACACTGTTTTTTAATATTTGCCTGCAGCATGTGTTCTGTTTAAATTCAATTTAGGCTTTGTTGGGGGGGTTGTAAATCATGACACAGATTGTGCGCTTTCAGGAGACGCTCTTATCATCACAGGGGGTGCAAAACCCCCAGCTGGAGGATAAACATGAGGAGGTCAGATAACTTCATGATGGATGCTGTCCCCTCCGGCATGTGAGGAGCTGCTGGAGGGCGGCGCAGGTATCTGACGTGGCGCCTCGTCTCCGGCTGTGAGCAGACCAGCTGGCTCTCTTTGCAAAAAATCCAGTCGGACTGACGTGAGCAGAGGCAGAGGTGGAGGCTGTGAAATCCATCCACATGCTGGAGAGTGTGGACTGGAGGTGAAACTCAAACTCTCAGGTTCAATGTGGGATGGCTGTGGGTAGATATTTCTTTAACAGCGACAGAATGCTTTGAGTTCAGTGGGTGCAAATGAATCCATGAAAGTTTCTCCAGGATAGTTCTGTTGCTAAAGAAATAAAACAAATAGAAAACTCTACAACCTAAAGGGGGATAAAACCTCCCAAAGTGGTATGAGGTCACCTATCCTGATGGGTATTTACCCGATTAGAAGGGCTACTTGAACATTTTTTGACGTGAATAATGTGATTTGAACGGCACTTAAGTCGAGCTTGTGTGTTCTGTTTTTTATCTCATGCACACAGCTTCCAGGACTGGAGAGGCTGTACTGTGTGACAGGTCGGGACAGGACGGGACATCTGTTTTGCTCCTGCTGCACACTCACAGCTCAGGCACAGTTTTTAAAGATGATCCTGCTCATCTGTCTTTTTGCACGCCTCACTGTTTAGACTGCACTCCTGATATTTAATATTCTCCAGTCTTTTTAAAACAAACTGTCGCACAAGAAAAAAAATAATAATTTGGCTGAAGGTGTCATGTCAGTGATTCACTACATCAATACATTTCAGGAAATAAACACCAGCGCTGGAGGAAATAAACAGCAGGTGCTCTGGGAGGTGACGGGAGCAACATACCCGCTGCCAGAAGTTGATGTAGAAAACTTCTCTGGAGAAGTTGAAGTAGATGTTGGTGTCGTAGGCGTCGTCTCCCGTGTTGGAGATGGTCAGATTCAGAGAGACATTTTTCACTCCTCCCAGGGCCAAATGGTGACCGCTGTGCAGGCTGACGGGGGGGGAAACAGAAAATAAAGGGTTTGCGTTTCAGAAACTAAATAGATTTCTTTTAAAACAGCTGTGGGATGTGAGAGGATGAGCAGCAAGCAAATATTTAGACTCACATCAAGGACATCAAGTTTGTTTTATTTTGACTTTTTGGAAAAGAGAGCGTCCTTGAAGGGATAGTTTGGACTTTTTGAAGCAGGGCTCAGTCAGGTTTACATCAACACACAGAGTTTGATCTTTAAGTGGATGGATCCAGTTTGGAGAAGTCGCCCCCCCGAGACCAGACAAAGAAGCTAAACTATGAAAAGGCGATGGACAAGGGAGAGGAGCAAATTATACTTTAGCCACTTAAGAGGTCTAACAAAAAGTTCAATGAATTTAAGTGTTTTTTTTACATCAGTACTTGACTTTCCTTTTTTGGCATTATGCTTGTTAACAGCAAACACATCTGTGCTCCTACTCATGCTGAGCGCCGTTTGAAATCAGCTCTCCAGGTCAGAGGCAAGAAATTCAGGAAAACTAAATTCTGAGGCAAACTGTGGGATGCTTTCGCTGTTAAAATCATGCTTTAACTCTTGGAGTTTTAATTTTTGGGCATTTTTTGGCTTGTTTTTACTTTTCTTTTTTAGATCATTTTGGCTGTGTTTCCATGGTAACGTACTTTTTCATAGAATTTTGAAATTCCTATAAGTCTATATTAACCTCAGTACACACTTACTGTAGGGTTCTTGATGCACAGGACTCTGCTGGTCCAAGGTTTCAACTCTGACATTAAAAACAAGAAGGGGGATGACAACGTAGAGATCGACGCACTGTCCCGTTGTTGAGGTCACTCCACTTCATCTTAAAAGAATCTTGCTTTCTCTGTCCCATAATTATTGTTAATAAATACCTAAACATGTTTGGTAAACTTCCTGCACTCCCTCTTTTTTTTACTATCCAGTTTCGATTATATCTAAGAGTTAAACACACATTTGCATGATTAGGGGGCGTGGCTGAGATAACATAGTGATCGTCTTGTTGTTGAGGTTACTCCACTTAATCTTAAAAGGAGCTAACTTTCTGTGTCCTATAACTGTTTAACCCTTTTGTTAATAAATACTTAGACTAGAAAGGTCAACAAAAAATTCTAAGAGTAATGCATACATTAGTACAATTAGGGGGTGTGGCTCAGATGACTGACAGCTGGGCTCGTTGTAGGTTTCTGCCAGGAAGCCTCAGCTCCACTTTGCCTCTTTCTTAATTGCTCCAAAGTTAAGTGGAGAAAACTTTACCTAAATGGCGACCATCATTTGTTCGGCTTCAAAACGCCTCTTCAGAAACCAATGGGTGACGTCCATGTTTTATACAGTCTAAGGCTTCTCCAAACAAATGCTGTGCTGTTTGCCTTCTACTGTAGAAATCCACAGAGCCCACTTTAAAAACTCAAAACCTTCCCTTTAAAATAGAGTATGATCTTACTTATGAGGATAAATATAAAAGATTAAGATCCGCTCTTCAGGTCTTTACATAAAAACGGCCGTAACTAGGACAGACCTAAAATGTCCTAAAAGCAAAAAAGATACCCAATAAAAAGAGAAAGGGAACTCCCTAAGTATGGAACAACATATGGATATCCTCCAAGCATGCGTCATGGTTCCACCACCCACACCCACACGGCCTATGACGTCAGCTGGCTTCCTCTGCTCAGCAGAAGAAGAAACAGAGACAGAGAGTTAATCTAAAGTGTGAAGCGGTGGAGGTGTTTACCCAGAGAGCAGCAGTTTCCCATGAAGCCTCAGGTCTGCGGCGCAGTCGTCTGACAGGCAGTTCTTCTCAAACCACGTCTGAGGAGGAAGCAGGAGCATGGTTAATATGACCTCATAATGTTTTATCTACATGACTCACTCTGAGCTCAGACTAGAGGGCAGTGTTGTGTTGTCGGACGACAGATCCAGGAGATTATCAACCAGGAGGACAAATCTGTTCCCCATCTGATCTCTCTTTGATCAGTCAGAGGACGGTCTTTCGGGTCTGAGGCTGAAAGGAAACTTAAGTCAAGCGGTAAACTTTGGTGTTACGAGGATGACTTTTGAGATAGATGGACGCTGAAGGTGCTGAGAGACGTAAATCCCTCTACCGTTTTGTTCTCATGAAGCTCAGACGGTAGAGGAGCACATGTGGGGCAGGTTAGAGGTGGTCGCAAAGAAAATAAATGAATCCGTCTTTTTTGGATTCCACTCAAGAAAAGCTAACACAGACGATAATAAACTGGTAACCAACACCAAATCATTATAACCTCAATTTGAGCCAGTTTCCTACATTCCTTCTGAGGATAATATTTAGTTCTTGATGAGCAATTGAGGATAAGAATATCAGGGTTTCAATGGACGCAAAGTGAAAGTTCAAACTGTCAGATTTTATCAAAATTGGAAGAAATAAAAAAATAAGACTGGTCTGTGAAAATCTTGATTCATCACCATGAACTATACACGTTATTTGTTTGACATTAAATGCTTTATATGTGATTTTTTGATCCAGCAGATGTCGCCCTTGAGCACCAGCATGAAACCAAAACAACTGGCGCTGCATTGTTGTGTTAGCATGCTAATGCTAGCGATCTTTATTATGCTGGGTATCTTCACACTGCATGTAAATTTACCTGAAATGAGCGTGATCTAGAAACACAGTTAAGCAGAGAGTACAGTATGTTATTCTTCTTTTCTCTAGTCCCTCAATTAAACAACTTTTATACACGAGGGGAGGAGTCAGCCGGCCGTCCTGGCGATGTAAACAAAGTGAAGATAGGACTCTGAAAACTCTGAAAACATCACAGACAGTGGGACTCGGGTGTTACACCCATTGTAGACAGTCATGACTCACAGAGTTATTTTCAGAGGAGATACTTGATTTATGTATGTAAGTGTGAAAAATCACATATAAAGCTTTTAAGACGACTTTTCCTCACAATGTTCTTCTCCTTAAAAAAAAAAAATCAGACAAAAAAAAAAAAAGGATTTTAATGCTAAAAAGTATTTACCTCATTCCTCACGGCGACCTTGTTTCCTTTCCTCCATCGTAGCACCGGTGTAAGTGCAGGCAGATCTCGCTCCTGATGCCCCGTCACAACGTGCTTCCCCAGGCTGTACGCCACCTCGAACGTGATGGGCGTGAATACCTCTTTAACGTCTTTCTGTCGGGAGAAAAAAAATGACAAAGCTGTTGCAGAAAATTTGTCCACCAATCGACGCTTTGATCATTTGAAACCTCAAAGGAACAACAGTCCTGCAGCTGCCTGGGTGATTATGGTAATTGAACATCTTTTTCCAATCGACGCTCGGTGCAAAGAGTGATTACTGTGCAGATAATCAGAACTATCATACCGTCTGGATGTGATGGAGTCACTGCAGGGGGTTAGACACAGATAATAAACCACACATCTAGTTTAAAGATCTTTGATACGTCTCCTTAATCAACTTCTTTTTCTCATTTTGCTGAAAGTAATAAAAGCAGAGCCACCGCTGAAGTTCTCACAAGGGCGAAAAACATCAACTTTTTTTTTTCAACCTGCTGGCTCGGCCTCTGAGGGATATCAGAGCTGCGTTTCTGGCGGCTCCGTGTGAGACCACAAGAGAAGTGTTTGAATTGGCATCGAGTTTGGAAACAATGCAGACAGAATGAAAACAGAGCGCTAAATGTGATCAAATCCCAAATCTTCATTAGACACTGAAAGACATACTGTACATGGGAATGGCAGATACTGATGTCTCTTTTTCATCCAGTCAGAGCTGCACTCGGCTTTTTGAAGCGTCTGAGTCTGGTCTTTCGGTTTAAAAACTAGGGCCTGACCGATATAGGATTTTTGAGGCCGATACCGATAACGATATTGGGGAGAGAAAAAATCCGATATATCGGCCGATATCTTTCTTGTCTATGTTCAATCTGTAGCGCTAGATGCACACATTTATTTTGTTGGGCTGTCAAATGCAGTTATCAAACACTTGCAGAAAAGATATTTAACGGAGACAAGATGGTCACTCAACTGGAAAGAAACTGAGCATGTACGTGCATCACCGCTCGACACTCTGCAAAGTGATAATGCTGGTTGTGATCCATATAGCGCCCTCTGCTGGTGACAGGGAACTGCTAATGGAATATAATGATAAATCTAGAAATATTGACGCATATCTGAGATAAAATTGGCCGATACTGATAGTCACTGGATGAGCTAATATCTATACAAAAAAGCTGCAGCTACATCCCAGATGAGCTCCATAAGCAACATGTGTCCCTTTGCCCGGCTGATGTCTACCAACTTGGAGCCAAACCCGCTGAGTAAACACAAAAAGGTTTTCCTGGGGTCACTCGTTCTTTTGCACTTTCTCTCTTTTGTCCGTTATCATGTCCACCCGCCCATCCTCTTTCCTCAGGCGAGCACACAGCCATTAGAGGCATCACCAGCAGGGAGAACCCGCCCAACTCATCAACAGAGCGAGAGAGGTATTGCAGGAAGCAGTGAACGTTAGTGCAGGACATGAATAGACAAAAACAGGGGGCTCATTTGGAAACGGTGCGGCACACTGATAAAGACAGGCCACACAATAGATGTTTGAAGAGATTTTCTGAAGTATTGACAGAGAATAGTAAATTCTAAATAAGGCTGCAAATTAAATTATTTTATCAGCTGACATCTTAATCTGTTTATTATAGTCTTAATCAATTTATTGTTTAATTTGTTTGCCCCGAGTCCAAACTGTTATCTGCTGGTTTTGTCTGACAAACAGTCCAAACCACAACAGACGACCACATTGGATAGAGTTATACTGAAAAAAGAGAGAGTGTGTTTTTATAGCTGTACAAGCTCTGTTGCCTCAAATTTTCCACACTTGCTTTTAGCTTCATGCTAACACGTTTGCTATGACGACGCTAACACGCCAATGCTAACTTCTGCAAATGTACTGATAAATCAAGGCGAGGCGATGTAAGTCTAGCATCATTCATACAAACGTTTGAAGTTGTCAAATATTGTGTATGTTACATTGCTGTTGATTGCTTGGATTATTTTGCTTTGGCAACAAAGGTTGTAGAGCCCGACCGATTAATCGGACAGCTGATATTGGCCGATATTAGCTCATCCAGTGACTATCAGAATCAGTCAAATTGATCTCAGATATGCGCCGATATTACTCGATTTATTCACCAGACAAAAAGCATTTCATTTGAGTTTCATTGCATTACACTAGCAGTTCTCTTTCACCAGCAGAGGGCGCTATAAAGATTACAACAAGCATCATCACTCTCCAGAGTGTTAAGCGGTGATGCACGTACATGCTCAGTTACTTTCCAGTTGAGTGACCATCTTGTCTTCATTAAATATCTTTTCCACAAGTGTTTGATAACTGCATTGGAGGGACCAACACGCTAAATGTGTAAATGTATCTCTACAGATTATAGATAGATCCTAGAAAGATATCGGCCAATATATATATCGGTCTTGATTTTTCCCCCTCCCTAATATCGATATCGGTTTCGGCCCCAAAAATCTCATATCGGTCGGGCCCTAAGCGGTTGTTGCCATTCATGCCAATAAAGCATCTTGAATTTAAAGATTCAAACAAAGAGCAACTCAAAGTGCGTCACACAATAAGACAATATAGTAGAAATATATTTGGTAAAAAGCTCAACAACCACTTTTATTGCTTTAAATGCAAACAACACTGCTGCCTAGAAATATGTCTTTATCCCTTTATAAGTCAACTCCTATAAGTGGCACTTTCTGGACTGTGCAGGGCCTCAAACCCTGAAGGTTTTTTTTCCAAAACCCGTCTACTGAGCCTTATTTAATAGGAAATGAAACCGAGGCGTTGTCGCAATCAGAAAAGCTTTAACAACTTATCAAATTGAAGCTCTTTGTTATAACTCATTCATCCAATAAATCAACAGATTAATCTCCGTTTGTGATCATACCTCATTTGTTGAGTGCAGGTTGGGTTGACCATTTCTGATGCATTCCAGGAAGTCGGGAAATCTTAATGTTGATTGACTACATTTCCATGTTAAATCTGTATAAAGCCATTATTCAACGCCAATCATTTTCTCTCTGTCAATCAAAGAATCAGTCAACTGGGAGGTACATATGTGATTAAAAAAGACAAAATGAACCGCAGAATATCTAGTCCATAATAAGGCTGAGCAGCAGACACGAGAGGTCGACCCCACATCCATCACCGCCCTGCTCTTCACGCCTCATCGCGCTCACAGAGACCGTGTTGTTCCAGCAGTTTGTCGGCTCAGCTGGGAGGTAACATGACACAATGTCGTATAGTCAGCGACGGCGTACAATGTGTGGTACTTTTCAGAGCCCTCGGCCTCAGCGGTCATTAAAGTAGAAAGCTTGAAACGGTCCTTGTCCGCTGGCCTCTGAGTGAACTGACCCCCCTGGGAAAGTCCTCGCGTCTCCAGCCTTCCCAAACTCCCACCGCTTATCTCACATATTCACGAGCCACGGGAGGATTGGGGGGACATAATGACGTCCTGAATATGGGGCCCAACTTCTTGCTTTATGCACATAAAAGAAAATAGGCCCTAATATCTCCATTTATAGTTTGCTGTGGTGGGATTTCCGCGTCTTTTGCAACAGACTGTTTATTATTGTGCACACAGAGGATCACTTTCTGCTTGAAACACACTGCACCACCACTGCTAATGAACTGGAGAGCTCCCAAGCCTCACAGAGAGCTTATAACACAAGTGCCGCAGGCCGCGCAGCTTTTATTATCCTTTGATCAGTGCAGCCAATTGGTCCCACCCGGGGTCCACACCCCCTGGCCCCTGTCACCTTCTCCCGCCTGATCCAGAGTTTGATTCCTGTATTTATGGAACAGAGGAGTTCCTGAGCTCCAGCTGAGAGGGACAAACGGTCCTCGTGTTAACTGCCTGCTACCTTTTAATTTCATGGAAAGAGACCCAACAACTGTTCCTCACATGCAGCTGAAGCTTGTGACGGGTTGTTTTCTGCTCAAAGGCTTTCGTCCGTGTTAATCCTCATTCAAACACAGAGGTCGCAGGGTCGCGGCAGATCGAGAATTTACAATCAGAGTGGACTTTAAGAACAAGAGGTTGCCTGTTTAGAAATAAAACGTTCTTCCTCTCACACAAAGAATAGTTGATTTCATGAGCAATAAAACGCCCCCATGCTGATCTAGCCCTGTGAGACCCTCTGTTGCAAGATTACAAACATCACATTTAGTCATCCAAGAAAGTATCCGTATATGTTTTATATTAAAAGACCACATCTCCATGATCAATGGGTCCTATTGTTTATCCTTGCAATATTATTGGACAGAGAAAATGGTTAATAAGTCCGACCATCAGGCCATGACCTCACAGCGCCTGGAAACTTATCTTAAAGCTCCTGTGAGGAGTTTTTAGCTGGCTATGAAACAGACTGAAATAAATTGCCTCTTTATGAGCTTAAAGAGACAATCAGAAAGATGAATGATTATTTCTATATTCGGATGTTTTATGCTTGTAAATGCTGCAGGCAGGTCAGTGTCAGAAGAGGAGATCAACAGCAAGCTGTGAAAACATTTCTTTCTTAAACACTTTCCATGCAAAAGGGTCACAGAGGCAGATATGTTTGTCTGTTTAAATCAGCAGGATGAGATTTTTCATTGGAAAATTTTAGGACAGGATCAGCAAAGAGATGAGATGTACCACTTTGTCCACAGGGGGCGCCAAAACCAACAACAATGAAAAGTTCCAAAAACTCTAAGTCAGGATAAGAGCTCTTAAGCATGACTCACACTGCAGGATAATCGGGTCGATTTGAGGTCTGATTCTTCCTTCCCGACAATTGCAGGGTCGCTCCCGACTCAAGGCTGCTCGGACACGATTATCTGTCAAGATTATTTTGTAGTGTAAGTCATATAAAGAGCCAATCTTAACGTCCCCGATCTGCTCTGTGATTACAGGGGACGCCCAGATTTACTTAAAAGATGTTTGATATTTAGAATTTCATCATGATAGGTCTGGCAGAAGTCGAATGTGACTTCAAACACAGAGAGGGACAAGGAAAGAAAGCAATAACTGTAGTAATGGCGACCGGTGGCAGGATGCAACCCAGACAGGTGCCCTTGACACCCTTTGCTTAAGTCTTCTTTTAAAACGTTCCAAACTAGTTATCTGTTATGATAAATTACTGCCTGTATTTTTTAAATTCCACGATTTTAAAATCTGACTCTGCTGGCTTTAAAGAAGACGAAGGATTATTCACAGTATCCTTAGAGAGGGAAGGGCTGCCAATGAAAGAGGTAATGTTCCTGCATGGTCTTTAAAAAATAATGGACCAAATCTTGGACATCATCCTACGGACAAAATATCACGTATTAATGCTCAAAGCACGCAAACTCAAGCAGGAAGCGAGTGTTTCCCATCATTTTCATGCCATACATTTGGAACCTGCAACACGAGGCTGAAAAGTCTACACATCACAGCACTCGTGATCTTTATGACGACTCCTGATCCAAACTCTTCCTCCCTGAATGCTCGTTCATTTAGTCGGCTCACAGGATGGAGGACAGCCTGCCACTCTGCTTGTTTTTAAAGAAAACAGCTGGGGAATCAAACCTTCACCTCTCTCTGCGGAGCAAGGTTCCTGCCAATATACAATCCCAGTGTTTATGTTCACACTCAGGACCCATTTATTATCCACAGCAGAGCGTTATTCCCACTTCACCGTCCTAATATCTCCCTCTGCTGCGTGTATAACTCTTTCCCATGAATACTTACACAATGGATGCATGTTTTCAGCAACATAAGCACTTCTACCTTTTGAATGAATCCAACCATATTTAAGAAATTTCACCCTGATTGTTGTGTATTTGAGCTCCAGCTTGATTAACCTTCTTAGACAGCAGTTTCGACCTCTTAGGGCGCACTCACCCTGGCCCAGTTTTCCTGTACCGCACTGAAGTACAATTCTATCTGAACCACTTCTCTTGACCGCTTCCATCGCTGCAACACCTGTTGACCTGATAACTGTACTCATATCTGGCAAACCAAGGGGCGTCCAAAACGGCCTTAAAACCTCCTACCTTCTCTGGTCCAAACAAATC